CCTATGGCATCACCTCTGCTCTGTTATAGTACATCCAGGAGTGCGCACATCACAAGAGGAGAGCTCAACACACATATAAGTAACTCTTGGATCAAGGAACAGAAATTGACCTTCCTCTTAGAGGTCATGGCTCTGTGCCGCCTCCAGGTGTTGACTCTCTGGTGATGGGTGAGAACCATCCTTGAAACTACTATCCTGTATTGAAGATGAGCTTGGTCAAGTTTCTGAGCTTTTCTAAGTAGAACCATATATTGTTGTAAGATGCCATCAAGTAGACTGTGACTCATAGGAACTGCAGGTTTGAACTTGACCCTGTAAGAACCATATGCTATTATTATTGTTACATGCTGTTTACTTGGCACTGACACATGGCTGGTCCTCCAGTGGGTTTTCAGAGGCTCTAAATCCCATAGGAGGAGATAGCCCGCCTTTCTCCCTCGGAGTCGCTGATGAATTAGAACGGCAGGCCTTCCGGGTTGGCAGTGCTTGTTATCACTGAACCACCAGAGCTCCCTTCGCAACCACATAATGCACTTGCCTTAACATGCAGCACTTCTCACCGGCTCAGGTAGTGAATTCGTTCTCCTTGTTAGGCAGTATAATGTGATTTTTTTATGGATAACCCAGTTTGTTCTATGTTGATAGGCGTCTGTGTAGTTTTCATTTGGAAACCATTATCAATAATGTAGTACTACTATGAATTTCTTTAAACAAAAGTTATTCTGGTAAGATATATTTAATGTAAAATCTGTCTCAATCTTTTTCTGTGTATAGTTTAGTAATATGAATTTCATTCATGATACTGTATGCGGAAATACTACTACCTATTTCTAAAATGTTTTCATCACCCCAAATAGAAACTTTGTGCCTGTTTAGTAGTAACTTCCTGTTTCTCCCCCTCCGGTCCTGTAACCTCCAGTCTACTTTCTGCTTTTATGAATTTGCCTGTTCTGGTTATTTTACAAAATTGGAGCCCTGTGATTCTTATTTGTGGGTCTCTTAGAGTACTTTTATCAACACTGATGTTGCAGCAGGTATTAGAACTTTAGTCCTTCTGTTGACTGAACAGTGAGTGTTCCATTGAATAGTCCACCACATCTTATCTAGTCATCTGTTTGTTGGGTCTTGGGCTGTCTCTACATTTTAGCTGTTGTGATCAATGCTATGTGAACTCTGGTGTACAGGTGTCTGTCTGAGTCGCTGCTTTCAGGTCTTCTGGGTGTACATCCGGGAGTGGAGTTGCGAGTCTAAATGGCAGTTCTGGGTTTTCCTTTTTGAAGGCATCAGGGAGCTCTCCCCGTAGCTGCTCCATTTTAACAGCCTCATCAGCAATGTGCAAGCATTCCCCCTCCCCCCGCTTGTTATTATATTACAATTTTTTATGTATTATGCCCTTCCTTATCTTTGAAGGTGGTTTTTCATTCTGAAATCTATTTTATCAGAGATTAGTATTGCTACTCCTGCTTTTTTGAGGTTACCATTTGCTTGGTAAATTTTTTTTCAGCCCACCTTATGTATTATGGATGTTGTTGTCTGGATGAGTCTGCTACAGCTCAGCGACTCTGTAAACAACAGATCTGAGCCTCCCCTCTCTTGCGTTATCTTCATGAACTCCATCATGCTCAAGTCCCTTGCGGTTGTCACTATATCGAGCTGCTTCATTTTGCTTCTTCCTGTACATCACTGGCCCTCTGCTTTTCCCAGCATGATGTCCTCTTCCAAGGACTGATCTTTCCTGACAACATGTTTAAAATAAGACCCAGTTTCACCCTCCTTGCTTCTAAGGAACACATCGTTTGCACTTCCGCCAAGACAGATGTGTTCATTCTTTTGGCAGTTCATGGAATATTTACTGTTCTTCTCTAATACTACAGTTCAGAGCTGTTGATTCTTCCTCAGCCTTACTCATTGTCCAACTTTCAGATGCATAGGAAGCAATTGGAAATTTCATGGCTTGCAGGAGGCTCACCTTAGTCTTCAAGGGAACATCTGTGCTCTTTAGATTTGCTCAGTGCAACACACCTTTGGATTTCCTGACTGCTGCTACTGTGTGTGTTGTAATTGTAGATCCAAATACATGAAATTATTGACACCTTCACTCTTTTCAATCAATCATCATGTTGCCTATTAGTCTAGTGGTGAAGATTTTTTTCTTGATTTTGAGATGTAACCAATCTTGAAGGCTGTCTGGTCTTCAGTAAATGCTTCCAGTTTGTGCAAGCAAGGTTGCCTAACACAAGGTGATGAATCCTCCTCCAGTCCTGATGCCACATTCTTTTTATGGCTAAGAACACATTGCCACATACAAGGTCTTGATGACTTACTTCCGTGTTTTCCTTTAAGAGTCTTATCCTTTAGCTCTTAAATTGAGATCCATTTAAAGTTCATCTTTGTGTATGGTGTGAAGTTGGGTCCAAATAATTTTTTTATTATTATATTTCATTATTTTTTGTGTGTACCGTCAAATCAGATCTGACTGGTACAGGAGGAGATTGTTCCTCCTTCTCCAGCAGAGCATCTGGTGGATTCGAACCATGTACCTCTGAGATTGCAGTGCAGCTTCTTGCCACTAGGCCACCAGAGCTCGCCCAAATCATTCTTTCATGTAAGAAAATCTAGCATTGTTCACTGAATAGATTCTGCTTCTCATCTGGAATTGTCTTTCCCCTTTTGTTAAAAGACAGTAGGCTTTTGCTGTATGGGTTTATGTATCAATTCTCAGCCCCACTATCTTATTCCCCAGTATACCTTTTTTATACTCTTTTAAAAAAAGAAATTTGTTTTAAGACATTAAATTAGTTTAACTGTGTTAACATGCTCCTCTATATAGAAATGTATTTTCTCAACAGAGGGTACTGCTGTTATAAATATAAAAGCCACAAAAATATGCTCATTTTTTCCTAATAATGTCATTAGAGCTTAATTTTTAATATTTCTTTCTTTTGCTTTCTTTTTATTTATTATTATTATTATTAATTTTTATGAGAGTTTATAGAGACTTTAGATTTCTGTTCATTCATTGTACTTTTCTCCCTGCCCACCCCCTTCCCCTAGTTTGCTCTTCTCTTTGAAAAGTAAAATTCTTTCATTGTTATATAATCCCTCCCCCCAAGTTCACTCCACTGTGCAGCCTTCATTCTGGACTCCTGTCATGACAATAATGCCTAATCACATATTCCTTCTAAACAGTCTCTCCCTCATCTGTTTCAATGCAGTCTACATTATTTAATCCCCTTTTCAGTCTGCCCCCAACCCCGATGTCAGTCCCATTTTACAACAGTGGCACCATGCAGTATTTGTCTTTTTGTGACTGAGATCTTTCACTCAGCATAATGTCCTCCAGGGTCACCAATTTTGTATAATTTTGTATAATATTGCATGAGTTCCTTGTTTTTCAGTGCACCAGAGTATTCCCTTGTATGAATATACCAAGCTTCTCTATCCATTTGTTTGTTGTTTGGGCACCTGGGTGTTTCCAGCTCTTTGCTGTTTTGAACAAAGCTGCAGTAACATGGATGTGCATCTTTTGCTTTCTTTTATTTTGTGATTTTTTTCTGTCCTTTATCTGAAAATTGAAAAAAGTTAATTGGCAGTGGAATTCCTAGATTCTAGAAACTATCTGACTTCAGTGAGCACTCCAGATTGCCGGTGGTTTTGCTGTTTTGGAAGGAAATCTGTCACTCCATTGAACTCACATTGTATTGTTTGGTAAGAGCAGTTCTCTGGGTGGGACTGCAGGCAGAAGGGAGAGTGGAGGCCCCGGAGTCTTTAACTTGTCAGGGTTGCACCTTGCGAGTACCATCCCCAGTGGCTTCACGCTGCTGCTCTGTGCTAAATTATGAAGAGAAACTTCTCTCAGCCCTCATTTATCCTCTCCTCAAGCTCTCTCAGTGTTGCTGTTCCAGTCCACATTGTTCCATTCCTCTGTACACATAAACTTTGCATCTTTTTCAGGAGTTGAATTTTTCTCAAGAAAATGAAATGTCTTGCAAGGTGATGCTCTTTGGGCTCAGCATGTAACATAGCTCAGTGCAAATTGCATAACATCAAGACATGCTTAATTAAGGAATAGGCCTTCCTTGGGAAGGAAGGAACTTAAGAGGGCCAAGATTTGCAGAAGAAAGAAGATGTCATCTCTCAGAGAGGCATGCTGGGTAGCGTCTGTGGATGTGAGCCACACTGCAGTCTCCCTTCTGAAACAGCCAGCATCAGAAGGTGGAATTGTTGGGGGTAGGGGAGTAAGAAATAGGCTGCTTAGTGCTGGAAACTCTGGATGGAGTTGGGGTACCTGCTGTTTACCCAGCTATCTCAGCTCGCTGCCTGGTTCCCTGAGGCCCTGGGGTCTGTCAGGAGTGGTGTCCCTGCTGGGCTTTGATCTGTCCCTCCTCCTGGCTCATCCAGGAGTCAGCTCCAGACGTCCTTTGTGGACTACTCTGCCCGTTATACTGGTGTCCATTATTTACAACCTTCTCTGAAGAGAAACTAAGCACCAGGACTCCATGTCTTCAATGGCATACAGCCATTTTTCTCACCTGTGTCAATCTCTGATATTTGAAATTCCGTAAACAGGTACAATGATCGAGGAAGGAGTCTCTTGTTAAAAGAGCAAATGTCCTGGGAATTGAAATTCCCTTGCAGGATCATGAATTCGCCACAAAACCTCCGGATGTGCACTTCTTTACGCTCTGAAAATGAGAGTGGTTAAATGTTTTTATAGAGTAATTTTTAGTATAATAGGAAGTTTAATGTGTTTGGTAGATGAAAACGTTTGTCTTAATATAAATTATGTTTATATGTTTTACTCATTAGCTAAATAATTAGAGAATTAGGAAGTAAATGTTCACCAGTGAAAACGTGTATCTGTATTAACCAGGCATGTCTGGAAGCTGAAAAGGTTCTGACTGTGTTAAAGCTTACATTTCAGTGGAGGGCAAGAAACTATATAAATTTACTAAACAGATCACATTGAACCTGTTTTTCTTTTCTTTTGAAATGCTTAGCAAGAAGGCTCACTTTGTGCTCAACACTGCCTGAACAATCTGCTGCAAGGGGAATATTTCAGCCCCGTGGAATTATCCTCAATTGCACACCAGCTGGACGAAGAGGAGAGGATGAGAATGGCAGAAGGAGGCGTTACGAGTGAAGACTACCGGACATTTTTACAGGTGCTGCTTGTACACTCACTTGATGTCTTTTACGTCGTTCCCCTCGTGAGATATAATTAAAACCCAGAAAACATGGTCCATTCTCTTTCCTTTTTTTTTCTCTGTGGGTTCTGTGGAGAAGGGATGGAGCAGTTTCCCTTCAGCATCTGACTTGGTAATTACAGCTCTGCTCTTGACTTTGTGAGGGAGGACGCGCAAGGTGTTATTTCAGATCCGCACACTAATGACAGTTCTCACCCTTTTCTCCTCCCTGCCTCCAATCGCCTGTCACGGCCGAGCAGCAGCCTTCTGGAAATATGGATGACAGTGGGTTTTTCTCCATCCAAGTAAGTAATGGTAATCACGTACCAAGTGAGGTCTGCGTCAGGCACTGCCAACCTCAGCGCGTGAGTGGAGAGTGTTCCCCCAGCCTTCTGCAGTCAGTGTCACAGCGAGTCTATAGATGATATGATTAATATAAGTAATCCTTAGAACAGGCCTAGCATTTTCCATAGGTCAACCTGAAAATTAGGATTGCAGAGTCGTAATTTAGAATGCATTAATTACTGTTGTTTCTAGTTACTACTGAGTCTGCCCCACTCGTCTTAGAGTGGGGCTTTTAAAATTACTCTGAGATTATTTAACTTACAAAAACTATAATTCCAGTAAGTCATAAATTTTCAAACTTAATATCTCTTGGGCACATTTGAGAAAATGCAGCTTCCATTTTCTCCTCAGCCTACCAGAATGGAACTTTGTTATGGGCTCTGGCTCTCGAGTTTGGTTTTTTAATTCCCCTATGATCAGTACTTTAAACAGCTAGCTTCCCTTGAATTTCTCTGATGTCCACATGTACTTGTGAGATTCTTCGGTCATACCTGTTTCTCGCTCATTCTGTCCTAGAAGGGGACGTCTGAGTTGCACCCGTAGTTATTTCAGAACCTCTCTTGAGGGACCTGCTTCTGCTGATAGTCTGTTTGCTTCCGACCTGTAATAGACCGTGTTGGACTCTTCCTTCACCCTTGTTTCCTCTAGGGCTTTGTTGTGCATCTCTGCTGCGAGGCTGGGCGGATCGGGAGTGGGTTTGGGTTCAGCACTGGCCATTTCCTGTTTGTGTGGGGCTGCTATGAGTCCTGGTCCACTTTCCCCCCTTTTGCTTTTTTAAACACTTTTTTGTTCTCTAGTTTTTATTGTGATTTGAGTGAAGGTTTGCAGAGCATGTTACTTCTCTGTTAGACAGTCCATATGCAGTCTGCTTAGTGATGTTTATTAGAATCTCCACACTGTAGCCGTGTTCTTCCTCCCCATGTTTCCTGGCTCTGTGCACCCTCTTTCTTGCCTTTCTTGTCTCTGAGCTCCATCCCTGGGCAAACGTTGCCCTTTGGTTTTTTCTAGTTGGTTGTTCTAAGGCATGTGCTCATCTCTGCTCTTCCTGTCTGGTAACTTCCATGCCTGGCTGCTGATTGGCTGAAGGTTGAGTCGCAGAGGTGATTCTAGTTCCAGACTTGAAGGAAGAAAACGGGCCGTGGTCTCAGGGCTGCTCCTAGGCTCGTAAAGACCAGCAGAGCCGGCCTTCATTATGGTTTTGAGGATGGTTCCACTTTTCCTCCTCTCATATCTGAGGTCTCATATTGTGGTCCTTGGCAGAGTGGTCAGCAGTGGGAACCATGCACCCTCGAGGTCACTTAGTCATGTGGTCTCTCATGGCCTTTGATTTCATTTCCTCTCCTTTACTCCAGACAGGAAGAGTCCAGTAGCTTTGAGACCCCATCACTGCTCGTCACAGTGGGACGGAGAATGTTCTTTGGGCCTGTGCCCTGCCAGTTGACTGTGCTGTCTCCCAGGGCTGGGGTGCCAGTTCACTGTGCCCACCACATTTGACTTCACATTGCTTGTTTCACTGGCCAATTTCTCGGCTTCCTTGATTCAGAAGTTTTCCAGTTTCCCGTGACCCAGGTGGCCTTTTGTTTTTCCTCTGTTCATTACACACCCATGACCATGACCATGACCATGACCATAGAAGCTTGGTTCTGTGAGACCTCCTGTGTTCATGTCCAGAGTGTTCCTTTCAGTTCACATCTTGTTAGTGCGGCCAGTGAGCCAAAAGTAACTTCTGCTGCAACACCTCTACCAGCCGAGTTATCAGCTACCCGTTGGACCTGGTTTTAAGAACAGCCCTGAAAACTGGAGAGAATGTGCGTCTGGAGTTCAGAGGCAATTTTACCTAGGAATTGTACGACTCACTGGAACTTATCAGGAAGCTAGTGCGAAAAAGACTCTGTTAAGGCTGACGATGCATGCTGGTGATTAATCTATGCACTCATGCACAAATCTTAAAAACCATAGCCTCTTGGGGACGTTTGTATAGGAAGTACAATTGTTTACACATCTAACATGGCTAAATTAAAGACTGGAATTGAATGGTTTTAGCTCATGAAAAGTTACTATGTTTTAACAGGTGATAAGCAATGCCTTGAAAGTTTGGGGTTTAGAACTAATCCTGTTCAACAGTCCAGAGTATCAGAGGCTCAGGATCGATCCTATGTAAGACTTTATTTTGCTTTTTCTTCTATTTCTTTTCCTGAATTTGATTTTTAAAGTTATCATTCCTTAAAAGAAGAATGCTGTATGAATGCCTTTATTATGTTACTGCCTCACCTGCCCTAGATGCCCATTTGTGGGGATCCCCGTTTGTGGGGACAGCCCTACCCCTCTGTGCCATGAACTTTCTGGAGCTGTCAAGTGTCAGTATTGGCACAGAGCTGCCTCTTGGATGCTACGTGGGGCCACCGTCTTAGTGCGCCTCCCTGAACTTATGTCTAGAGATCAGTACCATTTGGTAATTTAAAAAGAGCAGTTAATTCTGAATGGTAAACTGAAACCTAGCTTAAGTTTTGTGTAGTGTGGTACTTGCAACAGAGGCACACCTCGTCCTCCTCCGCCTCCCTTCATTGGGCTTCCTGCATAACCGCATTTTTTATGAATTGCAGGTTTGGGGCATCCCTGTATTGAGCAAGCCTGTTCGCGCCCTTAACTCCAAAGCATGTGCTCCCTTTATGTCTCTGTGTCAAAGTTTGGTTAATTCTCACAATATTTCAAACTTTTTCGTAACGCTTGTTGTTGTGTATGTTGTACACAACATGGACACTTAATAGCTACCAGAAACACAGTGTATTGTCGCTGAGTCAGTTCCACACATAGTGGCCCTCCACCAAATTTCCGAAGCTATAAATCTTTGTGAGAGGAGATTGCTCAGCTTTCTCCTGCAGGACCGTTAGGGTTAGCAGTCTGACCCTTTATCCGCTACACTACCATGGCTTCCTAATGACTACAGAATAATGTCAACATACCTTGTATCGTGAAGCCGTATTATCCATATGACTTGGTTTTATTGCAATATTGGCTTTAATGTGATGGTCTGGAGCAAAACTCACAATAGCTCCGGGGTACACCCATAGAAAAACGAAACGAACATGAACTCTGATATTTCGGCTTAATATCGTGTATTTTTTTTTCTTTTTCTAGAAATGAAAGATCTTTTATATGCAATTATAAAGAACACTGGTTTACAGTTAGAAAATTAGGAAAACAGGTAACATTTCTTCTCCTTCTTTGTCCTTTTTCTCATTCTGTGCTCCATTTAAAACTAAAAAACTTAAGGGCTTGGTGCCGTGTATATGAGAAAACACCTTGAAAATGTAATCTTGATAGATATTTTATATCGTAAAAACTAATACTAGATTTATTTATGACATCATCTACAATTTAACTGTATTTTAAGAGAAACGGCAACTATGGGCACTTTCGGAGTGAGTTCTTGTCAGTTAACTATTAATTTTTGTAGCTAAACCTGCTAGATTTTGCAGTTAGCATAGTAGTCACTCTGGCATGAATAAAATATGCTTTGACATGGTTACAAAATGACTTGTAATAGAGCAAACCAAAATCACTTCTGTTTTAAGACAACTAGAGGAGGGGGAAATGGAAGGTGCCTTGAGCAGCCATTGTGGTTTCAGGTGGGATCTGGACACAGAGGGCTCGAGGGATGAGAAGTGGGAAGTAGAGAACTCTGTGCTTTATACCTGTTTAAACCTAACGGAATACACTCACATGCTTGAATACAGTGATGTAAAGGAAATGTAATATGAACCACAGAGCTGCTCGTTCACTGCTTTTAAACAATATTAAAAAAAGAAATTTGCTGTCCCAAGCTGATTGCTGTCAAGTTAATTCCGCCTCGTTGTTGCCCATGGGATAGGCAGCTCTGCTCCATCGGGCATGCCTCCAGAAACTCTACGAATTTTGATAAATGTGGGTGGTTGTAGAGGGGCTCCAGGCCGTTTGTTCCGAGGGTTGCTAGGAGTCGTGCTCGACTCAAAGACAGTCAACAACAATGATCTTTATAAAAGCAGGTGACCACGTCATCTTCCAGTGGAACGAGCAGGTTTCTGTTGGCAACTGAGTCATTGTCATTTTTGCCACCACCGAGGGGCTTTAATTTTTGTCATAAACTTCAAGTTATTACTGGAATACTTAAAGACATGTAAACCCATTTTAAAAACAACAGAGATACATAAAATGCTATATTTTAAAGTGTAACAAACTAGTCCTTATTTTTGTACACACAGTTCTTTCTTGAAACAAAATTATTTCAAGTCCTTTTTTGTTAGAATTTTGAATCTTTAAAAAAGGGTTATTGAAACCCAACTATTATGATAAAAAGGAATAAGCTATTGATACACACAGTGACATGGATGAGTATAAAAATAATTATATTACGTTTATGAAGCCACACCAAAAACGGTCATGTGCTCTCTGACTGCATGTATTAAAGTGTGGAAAGTGTGAGAGCGTATTTGGTGATAGAGCAGATGCACTGGTGGCTGCTTGAGAAGGAGGGAGGAGAACGGGGCAGCGGAAGAATGGGCACACAAGGGCACACTCTCTTTGTGGATGTGTTGATGGTTTCAAACATATTATTACTATAAGCTCTAGTGGCTCGAAGCCACACTGCAGTTCTGAAGGCACGTGGTTCGAGGCCACCAGCTGCTTTGCGGGAGAAGGATGGGCAGTCTCTTTCCATATGGTAAACTGCCTCTGAAAACGCATTGGAGGGTCAGGTATGGGTTGGTTCCTACTTGACACCACCACAACACATCAACACAACAACATCTATTAATACAACTTTCCAAATTGTATAATTTTTATATGCCGTTTACTGTATGTCAGTTGTATAAAAATACTTTTTTTTTTTTTAATTATAAAGATAACAGATAATGTAGTCAGGGAGAGCTTATGGTTGCATGCCTTGAGTTGATGCTGGTTCTGACTCCGAACAGCCCTATAGGGCAGAGTGGAACTGTCTCAGAAGGTTCCTCTTTACAGGAGCAGATTGCCAAGGCTTTCTCTCGTGGGGCATCCGGTGTCTTCAAACTGCCAACCTTACAGTCAGCACCCGAGCACTTAACTACCAGGTTTCCTACAAGGAACACTCTTGAATTAATCAGGAAAAGATAACCCAAGCAAAAACTCCCAACGTCTGCTCCTCTTGAGTCAGCCAGCTGGAAGCAACCTTACCTTAAATGGTTGTTTTCTAAGGTGTTCAGGGCTCTCTCCTGAGAGCAAGTCAGGAGGTGTGGCGTGCAAGCCACAGGAGGGGCCTCTGACTAGGGCTGGGTGCTGTCAAGGTGCTTGAACTTGTTAATTTTATTTGTGCCTTCTAATAATTATAATCAGACTTTGTTTTGATATAATCACTGGGTTTCTAAAATCTGAAAGCTTAAGTTCTTATATAGTGTTTGTAGACCTAATGTCTTAAGATGTGGTTAAAATTGTCATTGTTCCAAGTTGCATTTTCACATTTTGAACTATTAGTACAAAAGATGTTCAGTTTGGTTTATTATCTTTGATTCTCGTTTATTTATTTATTTTTTTAATGAAACTTCAGTTTCATGACAGCTGTTTTCAGTCTGAGGTCCTAACATAAAATGATGACTGGAAACACCTATCAGAAGCATCCAAATCTAAGAGAAACGGTTGACGATCCTGGTAGTAACTTTGGAAGCTTTTGATTGTGGGGGTTAAACTAAGACTTTCATGATATAGTGATGGTGCTTTAGTGAGCTTGGTGAAATGAATTGTTGAGTGTCATCGGTTGATTTGTGACTCATGGCGACCCATATGACAGAGTCATTGTAAAAGTTGCCATCTTGACAGAAGCAGGCGGCCAGGCCTTCCCCCATGAAGCCCCAGGGTAGGTTCAAACCACTATCTTCTAGGTTAGCAGCTAAGAACTCACCTCCTAAACCACTTGGGCTTATTTTAAATGAATTAATGATTGCAAATGCTCTTCCTCAGATGTCTGACTTGTTTGACTATTTCATTATAGCTTGACCGAAACTACCAGTAATCAGGGAAAAAAATTGTGTAGATGTCATTTTTTTCTCTCCATCTTTATCAGGATGTTGGGTGTTGATACTTTGAGGAAGGACTGAACCATCTCTGTCAATAGAGACTTTGTAAAATACTGTCTTTGGATTTTTATGGGCAAGAATTTTTAATTTGTGACATAAAGCAAACTTTTTTTTAAGTCACTTGATAGTGATCCATCTGTAACATTTTCAATTTTTTATTTAAAGTCTTGTTAATTCAGCTGCTTTGAAAAGTCTTTGACAGTATTGCCGACATTTAAACAGTCTTACCAAGTTTGGAATGAGTTTTTATCTACTTTTATTTAATGTGTGCAATGTCTTTATTACCTGAGATGTATACTGACAAACAGAGCCCTGATGGTATAGCTGTTAAACGTTTGGCACTTAACTGAAAGATTGGAGGTTCAAGCCCACCAGCCACTCCATGAGGGAAGGATGTGGCAGCCTGCTTCTGTAAAGGGCACAGGCTGTGAAGCCGTCCGGGGCACTTGTGCTCCGCCTTCACAGTTGCTGTGAGTCAGAATCGGCTCGATGGCAGTGCGTTCAGGTTTTGTTGCACTAACTTCAATGTTGACCATTTCTCTTTTCCAGTGGTTTAACTTGAATTCTCTCTTGACGGGTCCAGAATTAATATCAGACACATACCTTGCCCTTTTCTTGGCTCAGTTACAACAGGAAGGTAAATAAAAATGGAAAATTTTGTAATGTGACTTTCTGAAGTAAGTAACCTGAGTACATTTCGGATGGTGTTCCCTGGCCCCCTGATGGTACCTCCTGCTCTCTGATGGTACCCCCGATCTCTGATGGTAACCCCTGACCTCTAATGGTGCCCCCGATTGCTGATGATACCCCCGATCTCTAATGGTACCCTCATCTCTGATGGTACTCTGATCTCTGGTAGTATCCCCTGATCTCTGATGATACCCCCTGATCTCTGATGGTACTCTGATCTTTGATGATACCCCCTGATCTCTGATGATATCCCCTGATCTCTGATGGTACCCCCTCTGATCTCTGATGGTACCCCCTGATCTCTGATGGTACTCTGATCTCTGATGGTACCCCCTGATTTCTGATGATATCCCCTGATCTCTGATGGTACCCCCTCTGATCTCTGATGGTACCCCCTGATCTCTGATGGTACCCCCTGATCGCTGATAGTACCCCCTGATCGCTGATGGTACTCTGATCTCTGATGGTACCCCCTGATCTCTGATGGTATCCCCTGATCTCTATTGGTACCCCCCCTTATCACTGATGGTACTCTCTGATCTCCGATGGTTCTCAGTTGCCGCTGACCTTTGCCCGAGGATGCTGCTGCTCTGCAGCTTTAAGAATGGCTCTCTGTATTCCGTAGAAGGCCCAGGTGTTCTTGTTTGTCCTTGCTGCTTTGACACCTGTTCTTCCCTGAAAACTCCTGCTCATTTGAAGTAATGCGCTTCTGCATTAAGTAATGGACTTTTAGATTGAGGCACATCTTTGCTGTCACCTGTGATTATCTCTCCTGTGATTCTTAAAGTTTCTATATGGAAAAATCAGTTCTTTGACATCTCTGTTCATGGCTTTTTACCTTCAAAGATCATTTTCTTCCTTCCTAGCAGTTATGAACAGCGTTGTTCTCTCTGAGTGCCACCTCCCCGTCTTCAGGCCCATTTCTTTTGTTTCTCTGTCCAGCAGCTCTTTGACTCGGTGCTATGGGACCAGTCATCCTTTTAGAGCCTTATTTCCTTTCCTACCCCACTTAGTTTCTTTGCCCCATCAGTACACTCACAGCTTTACATCCATCAACTCCTTTCTCCTCTCCATTGCTTATTCTGACAGAATTCCAGCCCTGGTTACATCTCAGTTTTGACCTTGTGGGCTAAATAAAGAATAACATAAAATATGGTAATCAGGTTGGTTTAAATGTATGACCCCAAGTTTCATACGGACCCTATAGCTACTAGTAATCTTCATGTGTTTTCATAGTCAGTTCACTTTTTGCTCTCCATAGGGATTATTTTATAGCTTCACTCCTCAAGCCTCTGACCACTCTCTCTCACCTCCTAACTACTTGTTTGTGGCCTTTCTATTTTATTGAGAAAATAAACACAATTAAACAAGAGCTTTGCTGCTTTCTATCATCTGTCTCTGCTCTGAGCTTTCTAAATAGGAGCAGTAGAATTTTGGCTTCTCACAAGGCCAGCTGTTCCACTGTGGCCTGGACCTGGTGTCAGTCACCTACTCAGAACCTTTGCTACTGCTTTGTTCTCTCTGCTCTTCAGGATGATCCCTCTTCCCTCTTTATTCTGTTACTCGGGGGAAAAGCTACCACTGATTAAAATAAAAGGCATCAGGGAGCTCTGGTGGCCTAGTGGCAAGAAGCTCCACTGCAGTCCCAGAGGTGCGTGGTTTCAATCCACCAGATGCTCTTCTGGAGAATGAGGGGCAATATCCTCCTGTTCCAGTCAGATCTGATTTGACAATACACAAACACAAAAAAAGAATAAAATAAAAAATTTAAAAAGAAAAGAAAAGGCATCTTAACTCCTTGAAATTCCAGCGGCCTGCTACTGGACTTGCAGCACCTAACAACAACAACAGCAATAGCTTTAGTAATTTTCGTACAGCTAGTCTTATTTCATCTATTGCCCACTTACCCTTTCCCTTGTTTATTTTTAACCAAATCACGGGCATGGTACCTTTTTTTGTTTTGTTTTTACTTGTTATGTGCTGTCGAATCAGATCTGATTGGCATAGTTGGAAAATGCCTCTCTTTCTCCACTGGAGCCCCTGGAGGATTCAAACTGTGTGCCTTCGGGATTGTAGCCAGCTTCTTGCCACGAGGCCACCAGAGCTCCCTTGGGCTTTGTACCATTTTTCGATGAATATTCTTTAACGAAACATTTTAAAAGCGAAGCTTTGAGTGTGTGTGTGTGTATATATAAAAAATATGGGGTATCTTGTAGCTAATGTTAGATGGATCTTGGCTGAAAGCAGGGAGTACTACAGGAATGTCTTATTGATTATGCAGAGGTGTTTGACTGTGTGGATTATAACAAACTATGGCTAACTCTGAGAAGAATGGGAATCCCAAAATACTTGATTGTGCTAATGCAAAACCTATACTTGGACCAGGAGGCATTTGTCAGAATGGAGCAAGGAAACACAGCATGGCTCAAAACTGGGAAGAGTGTTCACCAGGAATGTGTCCTATCTTCATATTCTTTCAATTTACATGCAGAACAGATTATCCAGGATGCTGGGCTGTATGAGAAGTATGGCCTCAGGATTGGAGGAAGAATCATCGACCATCTGTGTTACGCAGATGACACAACCCTGCTTGCTGCAACTGAGGAAGACCTGAAGCACTTGCTGCAGAAGGTCAAGGACTGCAGCCTTCCATAGGGATTGAGGCTCAATATGAAGAAAATCAAGGTTCCCACCCCTGGGCCAATTAGCAGCATAATGATAGATGGTGAAGAGAGTGAGATTGTTAACAGCTTTAGTTTGCTCGGCTTCACAATCCAGCAGCCAGAAAATTAAAAGATGTATTGTGATGGGAAAGGCTGCTGTTAGGGACCTCTCCAAAGTACTGAAGAGCAGTGGTGTCACCCTGGAGACTAAGATGTGCTTGATAGAGACCATGGTCTTGGCAGTCACTTGCTGTGTATCAGAAAGCTAGACGATGACTAGGGATGACAGAAGGAGAATTGATGCCTTGGAGCTGTGGTGTTGGAGAAGAGTATTGAGTGTACCATAGACTGCTAAGAATATGAACAAGTTCGTCCTGCAGAGGGTTAAACCAGGCTGCTCCTTGGAGGCAAGGATTCTGAAGCTTCGTCTGACATATTTTGGATGTGTTGCAAGGAGGGACCAATCTTTGAAGAGGGACGTCCTTGGGAGGGTGGAGGGACAGCACGGGAGAGGAAGACCCTCTATGAAGTGGATTGATTCAGTGACTGGGATAATGAGCATAGGTGTGTTGGAGACAGCGAGGCTGGCACAGGACAGAGCAGGGTTTAGGGCTGTTGTACATAGGGTCGCTATGAGTAGCAGGTGACTCAACGACACATAACTACAACAATGTATGTATATATAAAGGGCTAAAGAGCAAGGATATCATTTCAAGGTGTACATGATCCAAGCCGTACTATTTTCCGTTGCTTTGTATACATCTGAAAATTGGACAGCGAGTAAGAAAGACTGAAGAAGAGTTGATTCTTTTGAATTACGGTATTGGAGAAGAGTATTGAATATCTATCTGTCCCATGGACTGTCATAAAAACAACCAAATTTGTTCTGTAGGAAGTGCAACTAGGGTGCTCCTTAGAGGACAGGATGGTGAAACTTCATCTCACTTATTTAGACATCTTGTCAGGAAGGTCCAGGCCTTGAAAAAAAGACTTCATGCTGGGAAAGGTGAAGGATCAGAGAAAAAGAGGACGACCCTCAACGAGCTGGATGGATGTAGCAATGGTAACAGTGGGCTAGAGCATGTCAGAGGCCAAGGATAGCGCAGGGCTCAGTACTGTTGTCCTAGGGTTGCTGGGAGTTGTAGTTGGCTTGACAGAACCTAACTACTGTTAATACTATTACTAACCCAAATCATTTCAGTGATCTCTTTATATGATTAAATGTGAATTAAAATTTGATCTCCTCATTGCATTAGAGTTGGTTGTATTGGATTGTTTTGTCTTAACTAGAGTCCTCCTCTGTTTTTTTCCCCTTGATTTAATTTTTTGAAGAAAATGAATTATTTACTCTTTCTTCCACATTCTGATATTTGCTGATTGCACCCCTACTCTTCTTGGGGTTTTAGTACTCTGTAAAGTGATATTCAAATTCATATTGGTTTTTGGAGGGAAAGCCTAAACATCCTCGTGGATGGTAGTAGCACTTGATGTCTGTTTGTCCCCCTTTTTGGTGATGTTTAAGTTTGATTGAGAGTTGGAATTGACTCAGTGACAGTAAGAATAGCCACTGTGATCAGTGTCTACATCCTGTTATTTCAAAATACTCTAAACTAGATTCCTGACATTCTTAAGCTTGTTAAATGGAATAGCTCTTTGCAAATAGCATCTTTTTCCCCTTTTTAAAAGCTAGTTTACATATAATCATTCATATACATTATGTTTTTTGTAACAACTTTGTGTTTTTATAAAATCATTCACATACATTATCTTTTGTATAATTAATTACCATTACTCTATGCCTGTTATCACCCCATCTTTTCAAGGCTCCGTTGGATCTTTCTCTTTATATCACCTCCTTCTACCCACCAACCTCTGCTATCTCAGTGATTTTTTCCCCCTTCCCCTTTTACTGACTCCACTTTTCCCCCTTTTGAACATCTACCTTAGCCAGTTTTTGTGGTGTTAGCCTAAAAGTTGATGGTTTTTTTTTTAGCTATTACTTAGCCCCTTTTGGTCTCCAGCTACCTTAAAGCAGACACATGGTCTTACAAATCAGCATCAGCTGTGGAATTAGAATAAGAGAAAAGAGTGGTTTCCACACTGGGCAGCAAGACTTGAGGCAGCAAGACTTGAGGGAGACTGGAGCAGACCCTGTTGGTGAAACCCTAGTGATAATGTTGGAGACACTGTGGCATTGCTATAGAGAAATTGTGGTAAGGTGTGACCTGAGACTTCTTGACAGTTGTGCTGGCCACAGTTAAAAGTGTTTGCTATTCTTACTGGATGTTTGAAGAAGATGCTGACTTATAACTGTCCTGTGGCGAACCTTGATGGATGATTTGGATTTGACTGTTGAACTGAAAGCAGAGCCTGGACAACTTAAGGAATTATGCCTTAGGACTGTTGGGATAAACTTGGACTTGTACTGTGAGATAGTCTTTGTCCCCACCACAGCTGTGAGTCTGTGAGTCATCAACGAATAAATGAACCTTTTGCTGTTGGTGTGGCTGTAGAGGTACCACAGGGCTGGGTTATGGGATCTTTAACTGCTCTCTACTCTGAAGCAGTGAGGGGCTGTGCTTTCTCTCTCTGGCCCTTTGAGAAAGACACTCATGTCCCTGTGCTCCCATGGCCCGTTTTCTCCTCTTTAGACAGTTATCTTCCTATTTTCACAATCGTGACCTTATGCAGTATTTGTCATTATGTGACTGAGATACTTCATTCAGAAATGCTCTCTGGCATCTCCCAAGTTGTATAGTATTTTACAAAGTCGTTGCTCCCTGGTTCTGCATAGTGTTCTATTGTGTGAATGTCCCACAGTTTCTCAGTCCATTGTTTGATGTTGGGCATTTGGGCTGCTTCTGTTTATTTACTGCTGTGAATAATGCTATGAACATAGGTGTGCAGCAAATCTTGGCAATTATTTGCTTATCATGGAGCACAGTTGATACAGGAAAAGCAGGATAGATTCCCCAAAACAAGTTTTTAGAATAAGTTAGTTCCCTAGCATCCACAAGGGTAACCAATTTTTTTAAAGTTTTTTACTAAAGTGTCATTATAAATTAATTAATTAAAACATACTTTGGGTTTTAAACCGTTGCGATATTTTTAATCTTGATCCTCAAATTCTTGCCTTTTTGACCAGTGGAAGGAACTTGAGTTGTCAACCTTTTTTACATGACCCTTACAATCTTTTCAAGACTTTTTCTTTCTTATATAACAAGACCTATTAGATATATCTGATATGTTTCCTTTCCTGGATCTGGAATCTTCTAATTTCTCCACAGATCACTAGTTCCTTTTAGTAATGATATTTTAAAGTCACAATGTGAACACTAGTATGCTTATTGCTACTGGGTTATTCAGGATTTCTCAGACTCCATTTTTGTGGGTTTGATTAAAGCGAAGATACATCCTGAGTTCACGTAGTTCTTTCCAGTTCACATCTAGATTTATAATGTTTCTGCTTTTTTTCCCCCTTATGTATCTTTTCTCTTGTACCTAAAACCTTCCTACCTACACCCTCTTTGTGAAGCACTGTCTGTATTTGAAAGCCAAGGCTAGATCTTTGTTTTACTCTTATCTCCTTTTTGAGGCTGCTCTCTGATTCCCTCTGTAGATCCTCTTATTCTTCCCGGTCTCTAAATATTGAAGTGGCACAGGCTTCAACTTCTTGATTATGTCTAGTCTCATCATCTTAAATACCTTCTTGAAATAAGATCTAAATGCCAGTACGTTGTAGATTTTTATCTACAGCTTGCACATCACCCTGAGCACCAACTCTTACCTTTGACATTAATTTGACATTGTCAGTTGTGAAGTCCAGAAGACATTTCACACTGAACCTGTCTACAAACGACTGATAAAGTCTTGAGTAGATCCCATGTCACTTGACAAGGCAAGCTATTGATTCTCAGCCTTGTTCAAGTATTAGAATATCTGTTCTACATGAAATCATGAAAAAATAGCTCTATTGAAGGACCTAGGGACAGTTTTACCAGTAGAAAAATTTTATTGACTCTTCTAAATTTGTTCACTGTTATCATTAAATATTCTTGTTCATGAAGGAAATCTGATGATAAGCACCAAGATTTGTAAAAAAAAAATGTATTCTAGAAAAGCTTAAATCGATTATGGTATCTTAGGCAAGGTCACTCTTATGCCATTTTTGTAAGGCATATCCAGCTATGAAAGGCTTGGCCTTTCAAATCATATTTGTAAAAAAAGAAAGAAAATGACACAGGGCCAGCGTTTTCCTTTCAAATCATGACCCTCGACTTTTAGCACCATGGCTGGATTTTGAGTGTTGGCTTCCCAGTTCCCAGTTTCAATTAAAAGGTGTCTGTGTCCCTTCCACAGGTGGCTCATAAGCTGATACATAATAATAGTCTGTTACTGCACATTATTATCTGATTCCTCCCTTATATTATCCTATGAAAAAGGAACTGGCATCATCTATTCAACAGGAGAGGGAGCTAAAACGTAGGCAGGACAGATGCTTTGTTGGGGACTGTGCAACTAGAAAGTGAAGGAACTAGAATTGAAAGCCAGGAGGGGTAACTGGAAACCTCTTGCTCTTACTTGTATCTTAATCTGCCTCTCTCACCACGAACTTCTCATAACCACTCTGAGGCAGCTCGCCTCATTATAAAGATAAAGAAAATGACATCTGAGATTTGAAGTAACTTGCTCAAATTGTTCCTACTAGTAATAAAAGAATCCTTAGACTTCCCAGTTTGTTATTTCTACTGCCTTGTGTGGATTGTCTGCTATCATTTAAATCACTTTGAATATCTCAGTAGCTATTTTAGTTTTATTTCTGGTTTTTTGTTTGTTTGGTTTTTAGGTTACTCTATATTTGTTGTTAAGGGTGATCTGCCAGATTGTGAAGCCGACCAACTCCTTCAGATGATCAGGGTCCAACAGATGCAGCGACCAAAACTTATTGGAGAAGAATTAGCGCAGCTGAAAGATCAGAGGTAAGTATGTGGCTATCGTGTGGAATTTACGATAGTATTTTAGTATAAGAACTATCAGGCCTAATTTGAATATGTTGTCCTAGAACTGTTAGTGACTTTAGTTTTAAAGCCTTTCTGTGTTAATGAAATCTATTGGTTCAGACTTGTTTCACCTCTTTGAATTATTTAATTACAAGTTGTCTCTGATTTACAACATGATCAGATGACAAAAAACAGTCTACTTGCCTGTCCATTTTTTGAGTGTCCATTTTTATTGTTGGTGGTACTGTACTACATGCAGTGTTGCAGCTTCTGACTTGATGTTCTTGTTCTCATGCCAATCTCAAAGACAAATGATGATCAGATTTATAAAGATACTGATAATAAAAGGCAATAATAGTGAAAACAAAGCAAAGCAAATGAGTTTTTTAAGTTATGTCAGAACTGACTTCTGATGGTGATCAGAATGAAACCCCTTGGTGAGTTGGGGACAACCTGTCTGTTAATTTAGATCCACAGTATGACAACAGTTTTTGTAATGTTGGATTATCTATGCCAGAAAACATGTACATTTTAGAGATTTTTTGTTTGTTTGTTTGTTTACAAATTATCTTTAAATCATGACTGAAGTAGGAATCTGGTTTGCAGTACTTTTCAATGTTTTCTCCTTCAGAGTCCAGAAAACAGATCTGGAGCGAGTCTTGGAAGGAAGTGACGGGCCAGGAATGGTAGATGAAGATGAAGAGGATTTGCAGAGGGCTCTGGCCCTTAGTCGCCATGAAATTGACCTGGAGGATGAAGAAGCAGATCTCCGCAGGGCTATTCAGCTCAGCATGCAAGGTATACGCATGCTCGTAAAGGCACCTGTACTGTTGAAGGGTTGATTCACATTGTTCTGAGGTTCTCTGCATGCTAATGACCTAAGAACTGTAGTGTTAAAGTACTACCGTTACTGCTTAAACAAAGGCAATCAGCTACACTTTTAGATTTCTTATAATAATAGAAATTACTTTTTACAGCCAGTATAGGTTGTACAATGTTCTAACAGAATATAACAGTTATTGTCACCTGTTACTGTAAAAGCTGCAACCTGTGTAAGGCAGAAACCTGTTGCAGAAGTAAAACTCCAGAATTTCCTATTAATAGAGATTGATAGAAGAATGGTAACTCTGTATGCTTTCAAAGGCAGAAAATATGCAAGACCTGGAGAAAGAAGCTGCTCCCATCAGGTTTCTTCTTACAGGTTTTTTTACAGGTCTCATTGGATCAGAACTAGTAAGAGTTCTGGGTATTTTATTTGGTTTTTACACTATTCTAAAGCAATAGTAAGTTGATGTTACTCAAGTTAGCTATTTCATAAATGTCTGCCATTGGTTCCAAAGGAGGGCCTGGCGAAAGACTGTAAAATTGATTTTGTAAAAATAGAACATTTGTTGGCTATCTAACGTACAACTGAAGCTGCTCCCAGGGTCCCATTGTTCAGTGCTCTCAGTCTTTCAGAAGAAAGTGAAGATGCGCTTCCCAAGGTAGTCAGGTGGAGGGATGGCCTGAGCCGTAACACAGAGTAGTTTCTCTAAAGGTACAACTATTTTGAAGTTTCTCTGCTGTTGTATTCTGTCGAGTCAGAACTGACTCACTGCTGACCTTTCTGTGGGTTTTTGGAGGCATTAAATTACACAGGAGGAGATTGCCTTTCTTTCTTCCACGGAGCAACTGGGAGATTTGAACTGTGCGCCTTTCAGAGTTCAACACACCTTCTAACCACTGGGCCATCTTGTTAATCCCTAGTCCTTGCAAATTTTTTTACATATTTTTCTCTGGTCCATGTAAATTTGTCTTTGACTTTATAATGAAATTTTTCCATCAGTTGAATTACTTAACTATCTAAACACAATGAGGCTTTTTAAAGATATGTACTCTTATATCTTATCTTGTGCTTTTTGCACGTGCTCAAAATAGTGTGCTATCCCAGTTTCCTGAATTGAGCCGTGGTGTGTTTACTGACGATGGACAGACATCAGCTTCTACCTTCTTAGGTACTTTCATGTAATTCACTCTTGCCACTTTATTTCATAAGTGCACAATGGGTTAGTTTTCAATGACTAGCCAATAGGTTGGTGGTTCAGACCCACCCAGAAGACAGGTGTGGAGATTCCCTTCCTAAAAACCGGAGCCTCCCAGGCTGCCATCGGACCCAGTTCCCCCAGATAAACCTGAGGGCGCCCGGAGGCACCACTAATTTAGGGGCAGCTTAGAACAACAGACCATTTTACAATTGTGCAGGATCTCTGGCTGGCACCGTTTTCAAGTGGAAGAGGAAAACCTTTAAGTGAAAACACAAATGCTTGAGTGTGGACGAGCATACAGAAAATGGATTGTTTTAGGAACATAGATTTTAAGTTGTTTTCAGAGTACCATGCCTTAGAAGTAGAGATTCATTTCTAGGGTGGTGCAGGAGGACGGCATGATTGGTCCTGTTGGTGGTGGTGGGCTTTTTGTCTTTCACATTTGCTGCATCATGAAGAGGTAGCAGGTGTGGTTGCTGTGATCCTAGCGCAGGTTTGGGCTGCATGGACCAGGTTGTCCTTGAGACTTTGAGAACCTCTCCTCGATTTACAGAATGGTTGCTATTGCTAGGTACCACTGGGCAGACTCTGACTTTGGATTACCCCCGTGTATAGCAGATTGAAACCTTCCCTCATCCTGCTCCGTCCTCAGTCTGTAGTAGCTGCAGCTCATCGTATGTAGCAGTCCCTGTGTCTGTCCATCTCATGGAAGGTCTTTTACTTATTCTCTGACCTTTCACCTTTCCAAACATGGTGAGAATAGTAAACTATTTTTTAAAAAAGAAAATGTACTAAAAGCGGCTCTACGTGTCTTCGATATTGCTTGAGTTGGGGGCTAAAATATTTTTGTTGTTTTGCTTTGCTTTCAGGTAGTCTCAGAAATGCATCCCACGATACCGCACAGACATCAGGTACAAACCTTAGTTCAGAAGAACTGCGGAAGAGAAGAGAAGCCTACTTTGAAAAGTAAAGTAGTTGGTACAAGATTAAAGTTGAATCTTTACGATTTGCTTTGAATGTCTTTGCCTGTGTGTGAACAAATGGCTTTGACTTAAACAAGGTATTTGCATTGAGATTCCCTTTTTATTTTTTTAAAATTTTTTAAAAATTTTATTTTATTATTTTTTGTGCGTGTACTGTCAAATCAGATCTGACTGGTACAGGAGGATATTGCCCCTCCTTCCCCAGCAGAGCATCTGGTGGATTCGAACCGTGTGTCTCTGGGATTGCAGTGCTAGATTCCCTTTTTAGAAGACTGGTATAGTGCCTGCACCCTATCTGAGTGTTGGTCTGCTTTTTAATTTAGAGCAAATACTTTTTTTAAACAGAAATGAAATACACTTTTAGGAAACAGCTTTCCCCAGTATTGGGTAAGTTCACATGAGGTAGAGTGAATGAGACTTCTAAAATTTCATTCATCAAGAAGAAAATGAAATTAAGACAACAAGAATGCTTATCTAGTCTTTGAATGTGTCTGTCTGTGCCCTGCCTACCCTACCAGGCTTTTCTGTTGATTTAGATAAGACCACCATCTAGGTAGGGGAGCACATGCCCTGCAGAAGTCAGGGTTAATGGACTGTTCTGCTCACAGCCATGGCAGGTGGTGCTGCTGTCCAGTCCACTTCAAGCATGTAGGGACAGACTGATAGTCTGAACCCTCATCTCCTAAAACTGCCCTTTGTACATGCCGAAAATGCCTTCCTTTCTCAGAACTGTCATTCATACTTCTTCCTCATCTTCTCCCTTTTAAAATGTCAACTCCATCTTAAAGGTTACAAATCCTGGAGCACTTGCTCACCTGCTTTGGCCCCAGCTCAGCAGTTGGAAGGCCAGTGACTCAACCTGTCCTGTTCTCTGCCATATTTCCTCAACTCTGAGGTACACAGTTTTTTCCACATTTTACCATCTCTGAAAAAGAAAAACATCTCCCAGTTCTCACTGACAGTGTTTCAGTGGTATCTAAAATATTGGAGCATTTTGTATTTGATGGTATAATGACGTGAAAGATAATATTTACCTTTGTTTCTGTTCTTGTTTTTTTTAAAGTCACAACTCAGAAGTATATGAAGGAAAGTTCTGATCAACTGACATCCTCTTAATGTGAGCGATTCTAGTCTTTATTCAGTGTTAGATTTAATGGATTTAGTTCACTTCCTCCGAAACTTTCCATTATTAATTATATTTTTTTAAATGGGTTAACCTTAGATTTACATAAAAGTAAAAAAAGCAATCAGAATGGGCTCCTGTTCATTTACCGCAAAGCGTGAGCACATGGCCAGTTAGAGTTTGGTTTTTTAATGGCCCTATTTTATTTACTTTTACTTTTATTTTTTTTTAAGTAAATTTTATTAATTTTAATGAACATTTACAGAGATTTGGGGTTTTCATTCATTCATTGTTGCACTATTTTCTCTACCCTCCTCCCCAGTTCGTTCTTCTTCCCCCCTCCTTGAAAGTCTATTTTAATTGTTCAATTGCCACAGTGCTTGTCAAAGCCAGTTCTGATTAATCTCCTTTGTCAGTGTGTCCTTTGCCATTCCCTATCACTCCTCCCTGAGAGAGACTTCACCCTGATTCATAGGGAAAAGGGGATGGTGTATTTTTTGTAAAACAACCCAGTAGTAGATGGAATTTGATCCAGGACTTAAGAACAATAAATGACATAGTTGAACCTCTACATCTTGTGATCCCTAACCTTTATACTGTAATAGACAAAGTGCTAGTCAATAGGCCTTTTATCGTATTTTTATTTTTTTATGGCCCTATTTTTATCACTTTTACTTGCCTCTCCAGTTTGGGTTATTTTATGACAAATCTCAGTAATTTCATAAGTACCTCAGGACACATCCCTAAAAATGCGTGGGCTGTTTTTTTTTTTTTTTTAAATAAAACAACCCAAATACCTCTATCACAAAATAATAATTACCCATACATGACTATTAGTGAGAGTAAAGCAGGACTCATAGTGACCCAGTGAACAAAAGGTCTGAAGCCTTTTTGTAACTTACAACATTTATCAAAGTTCATAGAGGTTCTAGAGACATGTTGTTTAGGAAGTGGATTCCACTCCTGCTTCCAAAATTGTGTTAAAAAAGAAAAGTGATTAATTAAAACGCATTTACTCTAGAAAATTCATCTTAAGAAGGATCAGTAAAAAAAAAACCTAATCCTAACATTCTGTGATAAACAGTATTAATATCTTGCCATAAATTCATGTAGTTGTACAGACATACATACATAGTATTGTATATTGTGCTATTATATTATCTATTTATATGATCTTAGACCCTTTATTTATACTGTTACATTATGCCTTCTTATTGATCTTTTTCCATTTTATGAAATATTATTTTTAATACACTGATCTTTCTAAGAGTTGATGAAATGAGTGGTTCACACCTTGGGTTTTGTAAAAGGAGCAAAGGCAATGTGGGGAAGGCCGAGTCTGACCTCTGCCAACTCCACCAAGCAGAACTGCCCCCTTCACCACCACCTGCACTAGTAAGTCGGAAATTCATTGCAAATTACCAGACTTTGCAGAATCTATGTAGTGGAACAGTAAAATTCACAGGTGTACCTCAGAAAGGAAAATGCCTTCAAAGTATAAAAGGAAAGCTTTCTGCAAAGATAACTTAGGATTAGATCTCTAAAACTTTAATAATGGACTTTTCACAGAGAAAAGATCAAGCGGTAAGCATTGCTTAATGTCTGGTTACAGTAAGTGATAATTAATGCTTTGTAATAAGCCAGTGGTTGCGTCAAATCTCAGTGTCCTTCTAAGAGTAGTGGTGTGTGGATGCAACACCATCTTGATTGACCTGCACTTAATGGGGAGGTGGGTGCACATCAGTGCTTCAGCCTTTCCTTCTCAGCCTCCTGATTTGACCTTGAAGATCCTGGTGGGAACTTGGAAAGAATCAGGAAATGGTTTACATTGTTACATGTTGCTGAGAAAAATCAAGGACTGACCTCTTGGTCCATTTTTAACATTGCCTGGTATTTAAGAATCTTATAAAACTGTTTATAAGAGAATCTTAGAAACTGATACTTACTTTTAACTGAAATACCCAATTACTCAGGCCATATAGGTCCTTGTCTCTTTAGCTTCTGTCTCAAAGTAACTCTGCCCTCTTAAAGTTTCTGAATTGACCCTGTCAGCTAACTTTGTTATTCATGCAATTTGATAGTTTTATTCCTTCCCAACTTGTTGAATGTTTGATTTATTTAGCACCATAATGACAATATTTTTGTACAAAGCACAACTGTATATGTATGGTCTTTTTCTAGTGTAAAAAATACCATTAACAGCCTACTGTTAGAAATTCATGCTTTGAGTAGGGCTTGTTAAAAATGTTTTCATAGGGAACTGTGATAACCTCGTGGGTGAGGTATTGGATTGCCAACCTGAAGGCAGGCAATTAAAATTTACAATCTATTTCTCAGGAGAAACATAAGTAATCTCTGTGTATGTTGTTGTTGTTGTTATGTGCTGTCGAGTCATTTCCGACTCATAGCGACCCTGTGCACAATGGCCATAAACCCTGCTCTATCCTGCGCCAACCGCACCGCCTCTGACACACCCATCCTGAAAACCCACTGGAGGGTCAGCTATGAGTCAGTTCAAATAAATCTCTTTTATTTGTAAAAAAAAAAAATATAAAAAACAATTGGCAAAACTATTTCTTTATCAGTTTGGTTGCTGTAAAGTTGCCTTAATTGATAAACTTTGAGTATTACCTTAGGCAGTGTATATAAACAGTATTCTGTAAATTGTAAACTCTCGCACAGATACAGTACTAGCATTGATGTTTTCAGGTGTAGGTTTGGAATGGTGTGGATTCTTACTGTCATGGAAACCATGGTGTTTCCCAGCATGTTGTGATTAGGCGCCAGCAAGCTACTGTAGCTCATAGCAGACCTGCGGACAGCAGATCTAGTTCTGCCCTCGTGATTTCTGACATGCTCTAGGCTGTTGTTAAGTAGTCACTGCACCAATCCATCTTGAGGGTCTTCCGCTCTTGCTGACCCTCCTTTCACAGCGTGATGTCTTTTTGCAAGGACTGGAGCCTCCTGACAACATGTCCCACGTATGTGAGACAGAGTTTCACAGTTCTCTTACTCTTAACACCAAGGAGCGTCTTGGTTTTATGTCCTCAAGTACAGACTTGTTTGGTCTTTTTGGCATTCCTGTTCTCCAACTCGACAATTCAGAGGCATCGATTGATTATTCTTCTGTCATCCTTATTCATTGACCAACTTTAAGAGGATAGGGTGTAATTGAAAATACCATGGCTTAAGTCATGTGCGCTTTTGTCTTTAAACTGACATTCTTGCTTTTTAGAACTTAAGAGCATCTTAAGGTCTTTGACAGCAGATTTTCCCAATGCAGCACATCTTTTGATTCCTTGACTGCTGTTACCATGAGGGTTGATTATGGATCGAAGTAAAATGTAATAATTTACAACTTCAATTTTTTTTCTCCGTCCATTGTGATTTTGCCTGTTCGTCTTATGGTAAAGATTTTTGTTTTATTGATGTTGAGACGTGACCCATGTTGAAGTCTTTGATCCTCTGCAGTAAGTGCGTAAAGTCTTACTTTCTGCAAGGAGGATTGTGTCATCTTCACAATGCAGGCTATTAATGTGTCTTCTTCTAATGCTCCAACACCACATTCTTCATAGAGAGTCCAGCCTTTTGAATTTTTTGCTAAGCATACAGCTTGAATAGACATGGAGGGAGAAGGAATACAACCCTGATACACACTGTTCCTGATTTTAAACTATGCAGTTTTTTTAAATGTCATCCCTGTGCAGGGGCCGTGCTAATCTTCTCTGTATCGTTCCAGTTTTAGTATATGTGCTGGCAAAGCGAGTACACTAAACCATGCAATTCTTTTTTTCTGTTCAGACAGCTGCTTCTAGGTCTTTGTATAGTGTTTGCCTGGCTACAATTAAGTTGTTGTCGTAGTCCCATTCTTCTCTGGGTTGCCCATAGTTTGTTACGATTCACACAGTCAAAAATGCCTTTGCATAGTCAATAAAATACAAACGTCTTTCTGGTATTCTCTGCTTTCGATGGAGATCCATCTGACATCCACAGTGATATCCCTCAACCCATGGCCTCTTTCAAATCCACCTTGAATTTCTGGCAGTTCTCTATCAGCTGGTTTTTTCTCTATCTGCTGGTTTTTTAATAATATTCAGCAAGGCTAATGTCCATGGAATAAGAGGCCTTTGAAAACCCTACATTCCCAACATAGAGGGACACAAATATTATCACGTCCACGGCCAAGGATAATGAGTACCTAATCCTTGAGCTGCCACTTGGTTTAGTTTATCAGACTAGAGTTCAAGTTGAGAAATTACTAAAGGTGTTTGAAGAAAAAAGCGTTTAACACAGAAATGAAGCCTTTATAAAGTTCTTGAAAGAGCTGACAATGTAGACTCTGGGATCTGCTCATCATTGCTGTACAGTCAGAACCAGCTCAGAGCTGTCCCTCCAGTGAGCTTTCAGAGGCTGTAAATCATGCAGGAGGAGATTGCCCATCTTTATATCCCACGGAGCAATTGGTGGGCTCAAACTGCCTGCCTTTGTGTTGGCATTCTAACTCTTTATTCCCTAGGTCATCAGAACTCCCTTCTACTCTGAGGTGGGGCTCTTAAATACCACAGAGCAGCTTGTTGAAAAAGCTATAGGCATTACCTCCATTGGGAAGATGGAACAGCAGGAGTACTGAGTTCAAGAATACATTGTCCCACTTGCAATTAGAGCTCAAGTCACTGAGATCAGGAAGCTCCCGCCACAGTCACTTCAGTGCAGTGCTACAAAACATGATTCTGGGACTGGTTCTTCCCTGACTTTACCAGTAGGTGAAAATAACTGACGCAGGAGAAGACAGTTCCCCATCATTTCCAGCTTTTAGATCCCTTGCAACTGCTTAGTTTGTAACCAGAATTCCAGCTGCAGGAAATCTGAGACCTTTCATTCTTAGTTTTTCAGCCTGTAATGCTGGAGACATCTGAGAATTCTCCATAGGAGCGAATACTGCGGTGATGTGTACACACACATCACATAATTGCATCCTTATTCAAAGGTCCCAGACTCCGTTCAAGGTTGACAATTGATTTGCATCTTATTTTATAAGTTATAAAGTGGAATAAGGTTATACCTTTGAAGAAATAGTCTGTCCTGCCACTGTTTTGCATTCTGACCTCCTTTCTTGAGTAGAGAAGGAAGAGGACACAATGACAGCTGGTATACCAGAAATTCCCATCATTTCTGGCCTGATTTTCCTATACCATGTTGCCAATTTGAGGGATCTTGACTCTCACATACAGATATTAGTATTTCTAGCTCAAACCCCAAAAGGGGGAAATTGTAGTGACTACTGTTTGAATTTTTATTCTGTTCACATTTAAAACATAAGATTGGGAGAGAGACCCATTAGAACACAGCTTGTAGTCAACGGGAGCTCTGGTCGCATCATCTACAGAGCGTTGCTTGGCTAACTCAAAGGCTAAGCCTCCGGTGGTTCAAATCCACCAGCTGCTCCACAGAAGAAGGACAGGCAGTCTCCTCTCATGCAATTCATAGCCCCTGAAAACCCCCCCGAATGGAGAGCTGTGAGTCAGTGCCAACCTGATGGTGTGGGTGGGCGATGGTGAGTGATTCTGGTGGGAACAGTGGTGAGGAGCCCTCGTACGGGGGTCACGTGCTCAGCTGAGAACCAGATAAGGCTAGTAGTTCAAACCTGCCATCTCATGGGAGGAGGATGCAGCAGCCTCTTCTGTCAGGATCACAGTCTAGGTGTACGTGTGTTTGAAAGGATTTCAGTTTGGCATAATAATGGAAATAGTTTGCCCAGCTTCCCACAAGCCCATCACCCAGACTTAATCAGTACTGGGTTTCTCACATATTTGATCATAGACGTGAGTTGCCATGCCTTTGTCATGCTTCAGTGTTTTCTAAGGACACTCACCTCTGTTTTCATGACAAATCTTCACCTTTATACTTAAATGTGAAGGTTTATGATACTGGCTTTGCCTTAAAAAAATAGAGGAAGAACTTAACCTTGAAATGATAGATATGACTGGAAACCTTAAGGATTGATGTTTTTGGGTACTGATTCACCAAGGATTCGATCACTGCCCGCTCTGCGACAGGCCCAGTTTAGGTGCCAGGAAGCTGTAATCAGGGAGGGTTAGTGCTTTCCTGGTGCTTACACGTGGAAGAGGAACAGGAAGCTAGATAATGGCTAGAGGTGAGGATGCCAGCTGGGAGGTCTGGCTCAGCGTCCCCGGGAACCACTGAGTGAAGGGCTTGTCAACTGACAGGCGTTCACAGTTCCCCTCAGGGGCTTTAATAGCACGAAGAATCTTTGAGCCTCAGGACAGGTACAACCATTCATGTTTGTGATGATCATACTTTGCAATTTATCTGATAAATTCACATTTCCTAATTTTAGGGACTGGCTTTTCTGCACTTGGAAGTAACACACAGGGTAGCAGATTGCTCTTGGGTTCACTGCTGGTGTTCGTTTCAGCCATTGCTGGTGGCTGTTTTGCTTTTGGGGAACAGTTGACTCTCCAGATGCTTAGTCATCGTCGTGGAGAATGAGGGTTGGTTGGTTGCTTGGATGGTTTCTGTAACCTGTATTCACTTTGGAACGTTGCAGACAGCAGCAGCAGCAGCAGCAGCAGGAGACAGATGTGCAGGGACCAGTTTCACTTGCACCCGAAAAGCCGACCACAAGTTCAGGAGCACCTGGGAGCGATTTCGGTAAGACTCCCTGACCCTCATCCTGTTGCTGGCTACCGGCTCTCTGATAGGCAAGCTCTTCTGTTGAGGTTTTTCTTCACTCTCTTTCTTCCTTCCCTATTGATGTTGGAAGCCTTGGTGACCTATTAAATTTCCCTGGACTAAGGAATAAACAGAGTAGAGCACTTGCTTTAAAATGGCTTAACACCTGCACCTTCACAGGAGTTAGTATACCTCTAGAAAACTCTTCAATATTGGGGACATAATTCCACTTGGAAAATGGAAAACCTCTTGTGTGTAGTCTAATCCAACAATAGGACATTGAGACTTGTTGATTGGGTATTAGTTTAACAGATCTCAAACTTTGTGTAGTTTACTAAGAATAGAATTTAAGTGAAAAACAAGTTGTATCTGACAAAGGTATCCTAAGCAGGTTGTATAAAAAACTATCAGAACAGTTAAAATCTCCACCAACTCAATCTTTAAAAATTAGACAGTATATTTGAACGTACAGTTTACAGATATGCACATACAAAGAATTCCAGCATCATTAGAGTAATAATACAAACTGCAGTCACAGTGAGATACCGTGTCACCCCGTGCAGAGGGCTTTGTGAGAAACCCTGGCACGGGCAGGTGCTGAGGGGTCTGAGCAGCATTCAAACAGCGTTTGGAACGCAAACCAATCCCAGACTTTGGCAGACAGGTTGTCAGTTCCTTGCTGAGCACACACTGAACGGCGTAGCTCTGTTGTCTCCCTCCTGGGTATTTCCTTTCTTAGAGGACAACTTAGATTCACATAAAAACCTGTGTGTGAAAGCTGTAACAGCTTTCTTCACAGATGTCACAAATGAAAATGTGGTCCTTCACCTGGTCAGTCAGTGGATACTCAAACTGTTTAGTCATGTGAAGGGTTGCTATATAGGGTTAAAAAAAAAATTGAACTGGCGTTTCTGCAGTTTTTCCTGCTAATTTTCTTTTTAAAAAAACTTCTTTTAAAAAGCCAAAAATAATTTAAAAAGCTATAAAACCCCAAGCAGACATGAGATGAACCTGGCTGGTGAAAAGGCAGCCTTGCTAGTGCCCATTACACCTTGAAGCAATGTGCACTGACTGCCCCTGTTTTAATTTTGCCTCGTGTCTGTTCCATGCTTGGTCCTGGAGAAGCTGTGGATGCAGACAAGAAAGCAGAACCAAGGGGAGCCTGCTTTATTCTGGGGCTGAAACACGGGCAGCCTAGCAACATAGAAACTTCTCTGCAGACCCCAGAACTACAGAAAGTAGGAGCAAATGGTAGATTTTCCTGTTTTGAGTCTTGTTTGATGGTGAACACAAAAATGATATTGTCTCCTTAACCATGTGCAGTGTATATACAGACCCACCTGTGAGAGCCAGAGCTCAGCAGGACTTGGTTGGTTTCTGGGCCCTGTGGGCTTTTCGCCTTTGATGTTCTCTTATTGTCAGGTGCCGTCAAGTCACCTCAGGGCAGCCCTGGGAACAGTGGATCTGAGCTTTGCCCTGTCCCGAACCTTCATGGTTCCCCCTGTGGTCAACGCGTTGTCACAGTTTCTGTGTAGGTCCTTCGGTCGAGGTCTCCTCTTTTTCTCAGACTGACCTTCCACCTTTCCCAGCAGCTTTTTCTCCCAAGTAAATGAGGTGAAGTTTCACCATCCTTACTTAAGGCTGCACTTTTCTCCAGGACAGATCCACTTGTTCTCTTGGCAGCCCACAGATCCTCAGTGCTCTCTGCCAGTACCACAGATAGTAGACACTGTTTCAGTTTTCCGCCTCTCAGAGGTTCCTGCTTTCATTGTAGATAAAAGAGTATTTGAGAGTATTAAATGAAAAATAAGACATGATAAATAAGGAAGTTTCTACACTTCATTCAACCAGGGCAGCTCCTGTTGAAAATAACCTGACATTTACATAAACTGAATGTCCACTAACCATACAGCCCAGCAGTTGCACTCCTGGGCATTTATCCAGAGAAAGGCAAACATAACTACCCAGAAGCCTGTGTGTGCATATTTAGAGGACATTTACTGCCCAAACTAGAGACGATCAAAATGCATCTCTGGTACAGACTCAGTTACTCAGAGATGAAAAGGAAGACTTGTGATGCACGCAACATCTTCAATGCATCTCGTGGGCATTATGCTACGCAGAGGAGTCAATCTCAGAACCTCACATTCGGTAGGATTCTGTTTATGCAGCCCTTTCAAAAAGAATGCAGAGATGAAGACTAAATTAGGGCATGGCTATAACATGAAGCCTATACCTAAATCAAGGAGCTTTTAGACAAGCAGAGCAGGGGAATGTATAGTGGACTAAAATCAAGGAACATGTGCATTGACACTGTATCCTTTCCTCATGTGTATTCAGTCTGTATGCTGAACAAATCATTCAAGAAGTTAGACTCTATGAAGAAACTTGTGGCATCAGTATAGGAGATTGAGGAAGCAGCAGAATGCTCCCAGACGGGCGTTTCTGAGTGGTGAGAGCCAATGAGAATGCTTGATTATGGAGGAGTGTGGAATGATGGAGCTCACGGAGTTTGAACCTTGCCTTGGTTCTCAGGCCCTCAAGCCTGGTTTTAATTGATTTTGGTGAAACATTCTTTTAATAGGTATAGTACTCATCTGTCCACTTGCTGTATAGAGGTAACTTGTAGTTGCTGTGATGCTGAACACTGTGACACACACATCTGATGTGTCAAATGCGATAATGGTTACCCATGGTGGACAGTGTTTGGTGGAGCTCCCTGACTAAAACAAGCTTGGAAGCAGGAGTGGCATCCACTCCCGAAATAGCTTGTCTCTGGAAACCCCATGAACTTTGAGAAACGAAGGAAGTTATACAAGTGTTCAGGTCTTTCGTTCATAGGGTCGCTGTGAGTCATCTACGACTTGACGGCACTTAACAACAACAACAGGGTTTGGGGAGGAAGACCCCTGACAAGATGGACTCTGTTCTGTCAGAGGTGATGATGGCACAGGAATAGGACAGGGTTCAAGTTGGCTGTGTGGTTGGCTGTTCTGTGGGTCATACTTGACTCGATGGTACCTAGTAACAACAGGGTTTGGGAAAGTTTTAGGGGAAAGGAAGTGAATGTGAAAAGTAGGTAGTGGGGGAGTGTTGTGGTGCTATAACACAGCTTCTTGATCGAGATGGTGGTGGTTGCACAGATCTACAGGTAGGATGAAATACCATACCGATATCAATTTCTGGGCTTTGATTTAGACTGTGCAACTGTTGGTGGAAATTGAGCAAGGAATACGTAGGCCTTTTCTCTATATCTCTGCCGCTTTCTGGCAATATGTGAGCATTTCAGACTCGGGAGTTAGGGAAATAACCCTGTTGATTCATGCAGTAATGAACCGGTCTCAACTGCATTATGTAAGTGAATGAAGCTGTGATCAGAGGCTGCTTACATCATGTATGAATTCTTTTTCGGTGATTTTCCAGAAAAGGCAAAACTTGAGGGATAGACAACCTGTTAGCAGATGCCAGGAGTTCGAGATTGACCTGAAAGTATAGCGCTATGTAATGCTAGGTGTTTGTGGAGTGATAGAATTTTTGGTTAGCTTGGGGGAGGGAGTGGTGATTGTACAATTGTATGCATTTGTCAGACTTGGAGAACCATATAGCCAAGAGAGTGAAGTTCATCCTGTGTAAATTCAAAAGCTGAAGAATGAAGCAGTAATTGTCCAGTAGATGCGCCTTTCTGAGAGCTTACCTAGGGAGCTCTGCTGGAGTAGAGCATAGACAGCAGTGGTGCAGTGTTAACTGAAAGGCTGCAGGTCTCCAGTGGTTCAAATCCGCCAGCTCCTCTGCTGAGAGTGATAGGCAGTCTTCCTCTGCCGCGATTTCCAGCCTCCGAAACCCAGGGGAGGATCACTGCGTTGGAACCAGCTCCACAGCAGTGAGATTGTACCTTTTCATGACAGAGACTTTTCCAGAAGTTCTAAGAACTGTGCTTTCTTTCCCCGCAGGTGATGCCATGAGTGAAGAAGATATGCTTCAGGCAGCTGTGACCATGTCTTTAGAAACTGTTAGAAATAATTTGAAAACGGAAGGAGAAAAATAACACTGCCTTGTAAAAGCATTTAGCTGTCATACTTCCCAACATTATCCTGTGTGATGACAGCATGGGGTTGTTTGCAGTCATTTGTTACAGAGAACCATGTACAATGGAGGAATCAAGACTTGTAGGGTGGTTTGAGAGCAAAATAATGAAGAAGTGGCACAATGCGTCAGTCGGAGGACTAAATAATGACCCCCTGAATACGAGCCAAAGAGGCACTCGGCAATTAAAGACTTTAAATGAGTTTCCTAAATGCTCCTTTTCCTTTTTCTTTTTTGAGTGTGCAATATCTAGCATGTCTAAGCTTTGGACATTTTTTTCTTGGGTCTTTTTGCAAACCAAGTAATTAGCTCTTGCTGCAGACCTATTCTTTTTCTGTGTCCCGTGTAGGTCATTTCACTCACTGCAGCCGTTCAGCTCTTTATTGTCACTAACCAGGTGGACGATAGAGGCAAAGTCTCTTGTTTCTGTTGCTGGTAATAATGGTGCTGGGAGCAAATCCTTTCCCCTGAAGCCCCTGTGCACTTATGTGCTGTCTGCTGTTACTGTCTCTCACCACAATCTGTAGGCTTCCTGGTCACCACTATTTTACAACTCTTTAGAAAGTCAGTAATCTTTCCTTAAAACATTTGGTGTTTTAAGCCTTCTTACCTGGGGTCATTATTTCATGATGCTGGTGCATTTCTGAACTCTGCAAAACACACACACACACACACACACACGCACGCACACGCGTGTACACACACACACACACACACTGTCCAAGACTAAATGAGTGGTTTTTGTTTTTTAAAGTATGTGATTCCTTGCTTTCCCACATGCTGTATGAGTATCTTCTCGAGTACATCAGGACTTTAAAGCTTTGTTGTAACCCCTCTCTCCTGCCCCTGTTTGCCTTTCTTCTCAAGTTGAACAAGTGGGGTGATAGGATGCAAGCAAATGTCTTTTTGTTCTAGGACAAGATGTGATACCCGCCATGAAAGTGTGACAGAAAAAGCAAAATGGGCCTTCGGTTTTAGGAGGCATTTCCTCTCCCTTGCTGCCTGGAGCTGTGCCTCCCGTTTCACGTGAATCATGGAGGTAGATACCCGCTTCAGCTGCACACCTTTTCTTGGGACAGCTTGCCAGTGGTGATCTGGACCATGAAAATAATTGACTGTTGGAAACAGAAGTTCATACAGTGACTCGACATCTCCATCATGTTTAAATAGCTTAGGAATTAGAGACGTTACAGGCGCTTAATGGATCCATAAATGAGAAAGTCCTTAGTTTTGATGAATTGCCTTTTTTAATAGATACTGGCCAAATTTTTTCGTGGGTCCTTTATAAAGTAAAATTTTGGTGACAATGAAGCTTCTGAAGCAGGTGTTTCGATTCTGTCGTCTGCTCCCCACCCCTCACTCTCCACCTCCCTCTGCAACTCTTGGATGTTATAAGATTTACTAGCAAAAAAATGAAAAGGAAAATAATTTGACAACATAGAAAGTACAATGTCCTTCTGTGCCAGTGGGTGGTTACAGGCATTTCTTTTATCAGGGAAGTCTTTTCAGCTGGGATTTACTGCTAACTGAAAAAGAGATTAGAAAATAACTTCTAGTTATGATTATGAACTCGTGTTTTGGAGAGAAATGAATTTTATGTTTTAGTCATTATTTTGTGCCAAATAAAAATTTCTCTTATAAAAATTACAGTTTTGTTTTAAAATCTAAAACAATTGGAAATGTAACAATTGAAAATGTTTACAGTTGCAAAACGTGTAGAAGGTTAGTCCTATTCCCTCAAGCTTTATAGGCCAAAAAACTGTTTAAGAAGGAAAATTTCTACAGTTACTCTGTGATGCCAGTCATATTTTTCATGAATATTTGAGCTTTACCTTTTCCTTTTGAAAGTTTTAAAAACACTTGAATTGATGAGCTACCTACTATGTTAATGTAAAAACAATTTGTATAAAGGTTTTAACAAAGTTTAAATATTCAGAAGCTCTGGTTACACATACCTGAAGCATCGGGCTGCACGGATGGTGACTTGTCCCCAAAAGCCACTCCCTGGGAGAAGGCTGGCACAGTCGTCCTCTTTATGGGTTACCGCCTTGGAAACCCGCCGGGGCAGTTCTGTCCTCTCCTCTTACAGGCTCATTCCCTGTAAGAATTAACTCGTAGGCAGTGGACTTGCTTTACGTACCCTGACTAAAGCGCTTGAGGCAATAGGCCATTTGGGCCTTTGTTAACAAATCTTTATACTGATCTGAGCATATACTGGATCCAGCTGAATGTGTTTCGTTTGCTTTGACTATTGTATTTGGTAGGCGTTTGCAGGACCACCGGTGGCCTGTGAACTTGTCTGGAATGGCTTCAGTTTCATTTAACATTTATTAGATTGACTCGGTAGTATGGAAAGATGCCGGTGCCCTGGCCACTGTATCAGAAAATGATAGTAAAGTTACACAGAGCTACAGTTCGCCCATCAGGAGCTGCCTTTCATGGTAAACCACTTACAAGAAAGTCAGATACAATTCGATTCATACTGTCCTGCTAAGAAGAACTTTGTAAGGATTTCCATTCTGTTTTGCCAATTGGGAAAACCTTAATGTTTAATATTTAAACTCTTGGTATCATTTTTCTAATGTATAATTTGTATTAACAGGATAAAATATGTATAGTGATAACATTAGTGTTAAAAGTTTAAACACATTTCAGAATTACTTTCATATTTTCAAATGTAATAGTTTTAATAAGTAATGATTTATGTTTTAAGAATCCAGAGTAGTTAACTTCTGTTCCAAAACCAACAATATACATTTTTATGATTATGAATATTTCAGTAGTATAAATGAATTGTAAAGGTTGCTGCAGGTATGCTTAATGTTTCAGTTCTAAGACCATGGCCAAATAATTTAGAATTCACATAACATTTCATTTAAGAAGGTGCTTTCTTTTCTTTAAAACTTGATTTTTCTTAATTAAGGACTTATTCATGATGCCAGATAGATACTAAATTTAAGGAAAGCTCAAAACTAGTTGAATATCACAGTCAGAGCTAATTGTTTATGATATTGTTTCAGTTAATAATACGTTGCATAAAATAAGTCATATTTCATGCAGGACCTAACTTATTTTTAATGTCTGCATGTTTCATACTGTTTTTCAAAACCTGCTAGTGCTAAGGTTTACTAAAATGCCTTAAAATGAACCTTCTGGATTTGTGTGAGTCCAAGAAAAGATTGGTTCGGTGCGTCCAAAACAATAATTATTTAAAAATCTTAAATTTGAAGACAAAAGAAATCTTGGTGTTCTAAATTCTTAGGCAGATTCAAGAAATAATTTTACTAAGTTAGACTTCCTAGTAAGATCCTTATTTTTGATTCAGGTCACCTCAGGCCACTGTTTTCAGAGTAAATTGCATTAGGTAATGTGGGACCAACAAGTTTGGATAATGTGGTATGTGACACCTTAGTTAAGAACAACAGATTGGACCAGCTAGTGTTTTCAACATTGTAAATAACCATTTTCCATATATCCAAAATAAAAACGTACCTTCATTCCCAGTCCCTTTTTACCAGCATCTTTTGCTAATGAAATGAACTGGCTTTTTATTGTGTTTTAAAGTCTTTTACCTAAAACAAAAACAATGTTTTGGTTCTGTTTTCTTTTAATGGAAAAAAAAAGATTGTTGACATGGTTGGTTAATTTTGTTTAATTTGAAGATCTGTACAATTTTATTTTAAAAAGTAGTTAGGGAGTAATACTAGTATAATCACTTCTAAGTCTTCAGTAAGACTGGATTCATAGAACACACACTAAGAAGCATTGGTGAAATAAGTGTAGGGACTTCAGGATTTGTATAGGATGCACTTTTGTTTCATGCACACTTTAAAGCTGAATGTTTCCAGGCTTTTCATGCCCTTTATTTTGAAAAAGAGGAAAATGCACATCTGAAATGTGATTATCTAATTTCTACAACACTGGACTATCAGGAGTAACTTTTTAAAAAAATTAAAATTTTTCTGGGAGAATAAACTGTTTGTGCTTCAAGTACAGATAGGATGAGAAATGGAAAGCATTGCATTGGCCATGATGCAAGTGCACTGGCAGAGCCGCCAGCTCAGGGCCCACCTCAGCCGTCTGTGTGTGCCTTCCTGTCCTCCCACACACAGGACCCCCCCAGACCCTAGGAAAGCCGGGCTTCCAAAGCACTATACAACACCGAGGCGTCTCTCGTCAATGTGGGTGTTCAATGAGTTGTATTTTCAATATCAAAGATTATTAAATAAAGAGAATATTTGCTTTTTTTACTCCTCTCTCCTGTGTGCTGCTTTTATTAATAAGTTAGTCCCTAGCCTTGCCTCTCACTGTGGTTGGGGGAATTAGCATTTTCAAAAACATAAAGCTTGGGGCTATGGGGCCCAGCTCCTGAAGCACCCTGCATGTCAGGAGGTCCCCAAGGGTGCTGTGGGCAAGGGCTCAGGAGCAGCTTTATGGGACTTTGCGGCCCAAGTCAGTAGTGATGACAGGCTGGCAGGTTTCCCTTTCTGGCTGCTGCCAACTGGCTCCATATTATCTATCAGAGCAGCTGGGATTTTCCAAGAGAAACCCAAGAACTCAGTTTTCGAAAGAAGATGTTTCTGGGTCAGCTCTTTGTTTTCTCAAGTCCTCCAGTAACAATTTTCACCAGTACAATATTCCCTCATTTTATCCAATTTGGCACCGGAATCCACCTTTCATGATTGGGATAATCTGAATGGACTGAAGATTGTAGAATAGAAATTTTAGAATAAGAGTCATAAATAAAGCGCTTTGAACCTTATGTCTGGGGACAAATATTGAGAACAAATATCTCAAAGTATTAGATAGCCTCATAGCTCAGCACTTTGCAGGATCTGCACATTAGCCCTGGATGCCACAAAATGGCTTTGATTATTAACACACCTCTGGACCCTGTGAGCTACCAGGTGACCTGAAAACCCATCTTAATGTTTGCTACACACTTAGATGTAACAGAGCTTTTGAGTTGTCCTTAGCCTGCAGTCTTGTGTGTTTCTGGCCTTGGCAACTTTTTAAGTTTTCTTGATGAAGTGCTCAAAGCTGTCTTCAAAAGTAGTCTGATCCCAGTCCACCTTTTATACTCCTTACCATTTTCCCGGTTCACACTGGTCCTCCTGGTCTCAACGTCTACAAGTAAGTCAGCTTTCTTACCAGCCGCTTCACTGTAACACTCCCCTTGCTTTTCTCTAAAGAATTTTTAGTTTCTGTTTGTGCCCCTAAAGTTTTTTGCATTTTTTTACTTCTCACTCCTCTTAGGTGCTGTTGACTAGGACTCAGTGACCCTGTGCATAATAGCTCTGAATCCTGCTCTATCCTGAGCCAATCTCACTGTCTCTGACACATCTACCCTTATTATCCCAGTTATTGTGTCAGTCCATGTCATCGAAGGTCTTCATCTCCTGTGCTGTCCCTCCACCCTTCCAAGAATGATGTCTTCCTCCAAAAAGTGGTCCCTCCTGGCCACATACCCAAAGTCTGTGAGAAAGAGTCTTAAAATCCTTACCTCCAAGGAGCAGCTTGGTTTCACCCTCTCCAGGCCAGACCTGTTACGTTTTCTTGGCAGTCCATGGTATGTTCAACTCTTCTCCAGCACCACAACTCAAAGGCATCAATTCTTCTGTTATCTTTGGTCATTGTCCAGCTCTCATGCACAGAATAATGCAAAGACCATGGCCTGGATCAGGTGCACCTTAGTCTCTTGACTGACATTCATGCTTTTCAGCACCCTGGAGAAGTTCCTGACAGCAGATTATCCCTAATGCAGTTTGTCTTTTGATTTCCTGACTGCATCATGCCATTTCTGTCTCATGACTGCCTCTCTCCAACACCATAGAGGGACATCATGTTTAGGAGAGTGGAGAGATGGCGCAGGAGAGGAAGACTTTCGAGATGGCTTGATTCTGTGATTGGGGAGGTAGGAATGAGTGTGTCGGAGATGGTGAGGTTGGCACAGGATAGAGCAGCATTTAGGACTCTTGTACATAGGGTCGCTATGAATCGCAGGTGACTCAATGGCACATAACAACAATATATCCTAGATATCAGATTACTTACTAGACTTAGGCTGTGGTCCATAGATGAGTTGGCTTTGATCCAAAAGAGTTATGGGGGTGGGGGTGAATTGGCACTAATGGTTAAAACATCCCCCCACTGCCTTTGAGTGGATTCCAACTCATGGTCCACCCTCCATTGGGTTCTCAAGCTGTGTAGGGGAGGAAGCTGCCTCACCTTTTGCCCCTGGAGAACTTGGTGAATCAGAAGGCTAACATTTAATACATTACAACATCAGTGCTCCTTAGTTAAAAATTAGAAAACCTAACTCATTGCTATGGAATTGGAACCGACTTACAGCTGACTCTAGCATGGTTTTGTTGTTGTTGTTTGATGCCATCGAGTCGTAGACGACTTAAAGCGACCCTATGAACGAACGGCCTGAGCACTGTTCCTACATAAGAGTTTCTGGAGGCAAGCCATTTCGGAAGTGGATGCTGCTCCTGCTTCCAGGCTTGATTTAGTTGGGAAGCTCCAGCCAACACTGTCCACCATGGGTACCCGTTACCACGATTGGCACATCACCCAGCATGGTTTTAGAGGCTATACGTTACTTGGGAGGAGATAGCTCATCTTTCTCCTGAATGGCAGCCGGTGGATTTGAACTTCCTGCCTTTCTGGTTGGGAGTACAACTCTTTATACACTAGGACACCAGAACTCCCCCTTCAAAAAAAAAAAGGGGTCACACTGGAGGCCCATATTTTTCTTCATGACAACCATCCGTAGGTGACTGGTGGATCCAATAACACTCCTAAAATATGTGAGACCACCTTTGCTTCTAAAAAGCACTTTGGCTGAACTTCTCACAGATTTGTTTGTTCTTTTGATGGTGCATATTCTCTAGCAATACCACAACTCAAAGGCATTAATTCTTCTGCTTTTGTTATCCATGTCCAACTTTCGTATGCATAGGAAGCAACTGAAAATCGATGGCTTGGGTCAGGAGCATCTTGGTCTTTAAACCGACATCCTTGCTCTTTAGATTTTAAAGAGGTCCCCCCTTTTAAAAATTATTATTAATTTTAATGAGAATTTAGAGACTTTGGATTCCCATTCATTCATTCATTCATTCATTGTTGCACTTTTCTCCCTGTCCACCCCTCCCCTGCCAAGTACACTCTTTGAAAAGTTAAAAAAGAAAATTCATTGTTTTACAATCCCTCCCCCCAGGTCCATCCCACTATGCGGCCTTCGTTCTGGACTCCTATCATTAAAATAATACCTAAGCACATATCCCTTTTAAAGAGTTTTCTCCCTCATCTGTTTCAAAGCAGTATTTATCCCATTCTTCTCAGTCTCCTGCTAATTCCGATGTCAGTTTTGTTTTACAACAGTGGCACTATGCAGTATTTGTCCTTTTGTGACTGAGATACTTCACTCAGCATAATGTCCTCCAGGGTTACCCATTTTGAATATTGCATGAGTTCCTTGTTTTTCAATGAGCATAGTATTCCATTGTGTGAATACACCAGAGCTTCTCCATCCATTCGTTTGCTGATGGGCACTTAGGTTGTTTTCAACTCCTTGCTATTGTGAACAAAGCCGCGATAAACATGGGTGTGCATTAAAGAGGTCTTTGACAGCCGCTTTGCTCACTTTGATTTCTTGGCTGCTGCTTCCAGGGGTACTGACTTGTAGATGCAAGTTAAAGTAAATTCTTGGCAACTTCACTCCTGTCTCCATTTATCACTACGTTGGTGACTGGTTCTGCAGGGAAGATTTTTGCCTTAATGCGGGATGGCCACGAATCAGGAACTTCCTGGCCACGCCAGCTTAGGAAGTCCTGATGGCCTGGCTCAGCCTGAAAGTCAGCTGGACCCAGCGGCGAGGAGCGCCTCCCCCGGCCTCTCTCCTGATTGGCTGGCTCTCGGCCGCCTACGTGGAGGCCGACGTTGCCCTGGTCCCGAGGCGCCTGGCGGAGCGCCCGTGTGCGGTCCTCCGCGATCCCACCGTCCCTTGCGTCTAGGCCACGTCCGGCCGGCTTCGCGGAGCCCTTCTACCTCACCGCCGCGCCTCTATGGTCCGCCGCCGCGTTCAGAGGGGGTGTCATGGCGGCCGGCGTCGAGTTGGCAGGAGTTGCTCACGGAACTGGGGAAAGTCACTAAAACAAGAAGCCAGGGGTCCCCCCCCGGATGGTGGGCAGTTGTGAGGATGTACGGAGGCGCCTCGGGAGTGACCGCGGCCCTGGAGGCGGACCCTCGGTGAGGTCCCAGCCGGGCCTCTGCTCTGCTAGCCTTGGGTGCCGTTGGCGGGGACCCCCCGAAGCCGGCGTTGCCTGGACACCCCTCATTGTCCGATCGAATCCTGAAGGGGTCCGATTCGGACCCGCCGGGGTGGAGGCAGCGGGCGAGAACACTTGGCCGCGTCGTCGGACCACGCTGGACACTTTCCTGGGGGTGGACCTGCCCGACTCGCCGCAATGTCTTCCTGGCTGGGCGGCCTGGGCTCCGGCTTGGGCCAGTCCCTGGGTCAGGTCGGGGGCAGCCTGGCCAACCTCACCGGCCAGATCTCCACCTTCACCAAGGACATGCTGATGGAGGACACGGTGCAAGTGGAAGGTGAGAGCTGGGATGGAGGGAGGGAGAGTTTGGGGGGGCCCTGGGAGCGTCGCCTTGGTGTCCACTTCCATCTGGTAGGGACGCGGAGGGTGGGAGGAGTGTGCCCGCCCTTCCCTGTGCACATCCCCCTGAGAGGCGCCCCGAGTTTCTCGCCGAAGGACCCCTGGGGCCCGGGGAGGTCCCCCTTTGCATCCTGGATCTCTCCAAAGAGCGTAGCAGCTTTGACGTTACAGGACTTGATTGTTGCTTGGATCCATCCACGCCCCCCACTGACTTACCCTTCGATTGGGGGGTGGAGCTGATTTTGCGTCTTTTCTGTACTGTCACACTTTACAAAGTAGTGACATTTGGCCATGACAGATGCCATATATTCCCTTTTTTGTTTTTCCCCCCTTTCTAGTTTTGGACCCATTGCAGTAACTCCTGGATGTAAACATTTCGTGACTTGACTTTTTTTTTTTTTCATTGGAGGATGTGAATTGTTCATGAAATAGGCTGTGCCTCTTCGTTCATTTCATACTTTTCATACTTTGTTTATTCTTGTTTTTTCTTTTTCATTTCCTTTTAATAATTTTAATAAACATTTATAGAGATTTTGGATTTCCATTCATTCATTGCTGCAACTTTGTTTATTCTGGCTGACACATTTCACCTGATTCTATTCAAAATATGTCTCCCTTCCCTTCACCGCTTCCCCCACCCCGTTCCCAGCATAGATCAAGGAAGAAGGTCTTTATCTTCTATGTCCTAACAAGCCGTCCCTCATTTCTGAAGTCCTCATCTTGTGTCACTAATGAGCGGTGGCCCAGTGTTACAACTGGAGTCGCTGGTTAATTACTATTTTGAGGTCTCCAGCAAGTACTATTTCGATCAAAGGAGTTCACTCAGAATTTGCTTCCTTACAAAGGAATACGTTTGGCATTCTGGTTTGCCTTTTCAGTCCTGATGAACCAAGCCTTTATGTCTGTTTGTTTGAAATAGAGATTCCAGTCTTTTCATCTGAGTTTGATGGTCTTTACGTTTGACTTAGAATGTCTCTAGGATCTCTCTGGAGGCAAGGAAGACTGGAGACCCGCTTCATTTTATTTTACTGGTGGGGTTTCCTGTTGAGTGGGAAGTGAATGGGGGGGTTAGGTTGGGGTGTAGGGAATGGATTTCTTCTTCTGTTTAGGGAAGTGTCAGTAACCTTGTGGGTATTCAGAAGCAGAGAAGAGCTGGAGTAATGGGACATGGCTAGTTTCTGCTTGGAGCCCAGAGGTACAGTTGGGTATTCTTTTGACATCCCTGGGGCTGGCTGTCCTGCAGGAAGGGTGGGCAGCCTTCTGTTGTCCCCACCGAATGTGCGCCTGGTTCTCAATCTCCAGTCGATCACTAAATCTGGTTTGCTCTATGCCTGAGTCCTTTCTCCTATCTGCCCTTTATTTTCCTCCTATGGGGTCTATTTGCCATTCTCTCTCCTGTGGACTGAGCAGATACTTCACTTTTCACATCTCATTGCCTGTTGCTCTCTGCTTCTGTCCATTTTCTGTAGTGTTGCCTCAGTTCCTTTTAAAACACAAAGTTTGCTGAAGAAGTTGGACTGTTACAAGATAAATCCAAACAATTTGCTTTGGGGAGATCGAGAACCTTTATTTTGTATCATGCTTCAGCCTACTATAATAGTTTTGATTCTGGTCCTTCCTTCACTTGCTGTTGTCGCATGTACGTGCTTATTCACGCACATTATGCGGGCTTGCTCCCAGAGCTCCGTGGCCCACACTTTGTCAGGTGGCTTCTCAGCTGCAGGCCTCTGTATGGGAAGCCTGCTCACCTCTCTCCGCCGGCAGCCTCCTTTGCTTGGAAAACTTCCTATACAAGCCTGCGACATGCCAGGTGTTTGTCGAAACTATTCCCTCCCCTGAACAGGCGGAGCTGATGGCAATTGATCTGACAGCATCTGCCATATGGAGTTGGGATTTGTTTTTTTCCTTGATGCCCGTGGAGAGGCCTTTTTATTTATTTGCCACTGTGTTACCCAGCATGTAACATCTTCTTTGGAACATAGTAGATGCCCAGTAAAAATCTTGCTGATTGATCAAACAGCTCAAAATTACTCAATACTTTTCTTTACCTTTTTTATTGACATACTTTTATTTCCCCTTTTTATTGAATTGTTGTTGTTGTTGTTGGGTTTTTTTGTTATTGTTGTTGTTGCCATTGAGTTGAACACTACTCATAGCTGTCCTATGAAGAAAAGGCCTTAAGCCTTTCTATGACTATCGACATTTATCGAAGTTCATAGAGTTTGCAGAGGCATTTTGTTTAGGAAGTGGATTCCCTTCCGGCTTCTAATTTTATTGAAATAGAGGCTGCTTAATATTTGATAACCATTACAACTAGAGTCAGAATCCAGACCAAATCCGTTGCCATCTTGACAAGTCTGATTCATAGCACCCCGCCATTGGGTTTCTGTGACTGGTTAATCTTTCTCCTGTGGAGTGGCTGGTGGATGCAAACCACTGTTCTGTTAGCAGCCTGAGAAATTACCAACTGTGTCATGAGAGAATTGCTTCAGGTCAGAATCTCAACAGAAATCTACACTGCCCTTGAGTTGGAACTGACTCATAGCCGGCACTCTGGGTGGTTCTCAGAGGCTGTAAACTGCGTGGGAGATTGCACACCTCTTTCCTGTGGAGTGGCTAAAGGATTAAAATTCCTGCCTTTAGTTGGCGGTACAACCCCCTGTCTGCAGGCCACCAGCACTCTCTTAGGTCAGAACAGAATCTATTGATTCATTCAGCAAGTATTTATCAAGCGTGCCTTGGGCCAGCATAGAAGGAGAATACAGTCTTCAAACAGCACTGTTGGTTCTTCTTGAAAACTACCATGTTTACAGTCTTAGAGGGCTGCTGCTCCATTAAACCCCAGCCAGGCCCATTGACCTGAAGCGGACTGTGGTTCATGCTGGCCCGAAAGGGCATAGTGAGACCTCCCTCATCAGGTTTTCAAGGCTGTAATCTTTGTTTACAGCGGGTGCTCCGTGGCGGAGTCTGTAGGGGGTTGCACTGTGAACCTAAAGGCAGCATGTTTCTAGCAGGTCAGATCACTAGTGGCTCCTTGGGAGAAAGGTGGGCATTCTCCTCCCACATGATTTCCGGTCTCTAGAAACCCGCTGCAGGTCCAGCTGGGGTCTGTGCTGACTTAAAGATGATGAGAGAGGACTCTGTAAGGAAGCAGACTGCCATATCGTTCTCTGGAGGTGACTTTGAATCACAGACCTTTCTGTCAGTCTGGTACTTACCACTGTAATACCAGGGCTCCTACCAAGCACCAGACAGAAAAGCCCACTGCCATCGAGTCTAGCTGAACTCCTGGTAACCCTCTCGGACGGAGTAGAACTGTCCTTTAGAGTTTCCAAGGCTGTAAAGCAGATGGCCACGTCTTTCTTCTGTGGCTCAGCTGGTAGGGTCAATCTGTTGACCTGTTGCATAGCAGCTGAGTATGCACAGTGCCCTCATGGTTCCTGTCTACCAAATGCAGTACTGATTTATTCAAGGCTAGGAGACTGGGCTTTTTGATCAGAGAGACATGGATTGAAATCCCACTAATATGCATTACAGGGAGCTCTAGTGGTAAGGAATTGCACTACCAGTGCAAAGGTAGAAGTTTCAAATCTACCAGCTGTTCTGTGGAAGGATGGGCATTCTCTTCCTGTGCAATTAACTGCATCTGAAAACCTACTGGAGGGTCAGCTTTGGGTTGGTTCTGACTCAAAGGAGGTACATAGCAACAACATGCATTACTAGTTGAGGGATCTTTGAGAACTTAGTAAATCTAAAAATACAGTTTCCCTGTGTATTCAGGAATAGCAAATAGTAAGCATTAATAAAGGATCACTCATGCTCATTCACTGCCACTGAGTTGCAGCTGATGCCTGAGCAGGTTTCCAGAGGCTGTAAATTCCATGGGAGGAGATTGCCCATCTTGCTCCTGAGGAGTTGAACAGCTTGCCTGTGAGTGGGCAGTGCACCTCCTTACCTACTAGGCCACCAGAGCTCCCTGATAAATAGTAGCTGTTACTTTTATTTTCCCATCGGAAATTTAGAATTTTTTGTATGTTTAATCACCCCTTTATTCACAAGAAGGCCAGGTTTTTGTAGGGAGGAAGGATCTAGTAGACCTCCTTTTTAAAATCCATCTTTGAAATAATTGCCATTTCAAACAATTAATTTCCTAACTAGATTATAATTTGTCCTCATCAGGATAACAGTTAGACAATTCTTTCAATGTTGATATGTGAAGCAACCACAGAAGAATTATATAAACAACCTGGCGAAATTCTACCTGGTGATTTTTTAGAACAGAAAATTAGTCACTATTCCTGATTGAATGCCACTGTATTTAAAAAAAAAAAATTTAAACTCTGATGCAGAGAAATTATTTTTGTAATATTAAAGTGAGAAGAAAGAAAATCGAGATCAGGCACATGATTAGCCAGATGACATGGGTAGTGTAGTTTTGTTACTGTTGGGTTTGACCCTCCTTTTAATTGAAGATGTATAAAACCAGACTGACTGCATTTTCAATTTTAAGAAATTATATCTAGGAGTCTTTAAATAAATGTTCCTTTAGTTTTCTGTCTTTATTTATAGGTCATTAATTTTTTGACAGTGAGCTCTGGTGGCCTAGTGGGTTAGGAGTTGGGCTGCCAACCCAGAGAGTTGTGGTTTGAATCTAACATGTGTTTTTGAGGAAGAAAGATGGGCAGTTGTCTGTCCGAGTGATTTACAGTCCCTGAAGACCCACTGGGGGGGTCAGCTATGGGTCAGCTCTGATGCAGCAACACTCGACAACAACAATTATTACAGTGAAGGAGCAGAAGTAGAGGAGCTTTGGTAGCTTAGTGGTAAGAACTTGCACTGCTGGTCCAAGGACATTTGGTTCAAATCCACGAGCTGCTCTCAGGGAGAATGATGGGCAGTCTCCTCTCATGTGATTTACTTGCCTCTGGAAACTCACTGGAGGGTCAGCTGTGAGTTGGGTTTGAGTCAGCGGTACATGATAACAGAGGCCGAAGTTAGAATAAGGCTTTAACACTAGTAATGAACATGTCTTATCTAAGATTAAATTGTAAACCAAAGTGATTGCATTTGCAAAATGGACTTTTTTGTTTTGTTTTGTTTAATTTTATACTGGGTTACTTACAAAGTTTGTATACATTGTTTTTCATGTGGGATCTTTCCCCTTTCCTTTCCCCACCCCTTCCTCCGTGCATTAGATTGTGTGACTTTATGATTAAGCCCTACCCCCACTCTTCTGGTGCCTTTCCCCTCCTTAGATCCTCATACTCATTCTACAATAACGGTCTTACACAGTGTATGTCTTTATTATGCTTAAGTAAATGAACTCAGTCTCATAAAGGCAAAACTGACATTTTAAGGAGCACTTCAAGGGGTAAGGCTAAAAGTCTTAAAAAAAGTATAGGAGCAAACAGGAAGTGTCATATATTGCAATGAAGAACTTTATTGGCAGTAGGAAATTGGGATGACAATCAAGAGATGTGTCTTCTACATTTGCTCTTAGATCAGCATGCCAGTGGAATAGAATGTCCTTAAAATACCTGTTTATTAGCTCACAGGGTATTGGTCAAATAATCAGTATATGCTCTTTCTTTCATACAGAATTACCTAACGCTAGGAGAGAAGAAATTGAAGCTGTTCATGGGATCTTAAGATCAGAGGTAAGGAAAATGGATGAGTACTAGCAAGCTTAGGGTTTTCTTTTTGAAACCCATGATAATTTCTAAGACTTTCTTTTCATATGTGCTTCTTAATACATTTTATCTCTTGCCTGTTCTCTCTCTTGATCACTCTCCCTTACCTCCCACTAAAAGATTTTGTCAGGTTACTGTTTGTTATTTTTTTTATCTCTCTTCTTTGTACTGGTGATAGGAAAACTGCCAATTGTGGAAATAACAGTGGCAACAATTTAGAATTATCAAGGTCTTGCTGTGTCCTCATTATGCTGATTTATGGGAGTGTGTATATTTCTGTGTCGTTTGAAGAATGCAATTCTAGTTTGTTAGCTTTTTAATTCCCTAACACTGTTTTTTAAAAAAAATGATATTTGAATGCCTAGGAATCAAGGATGTAGGAATAACAAGTGAATTCTGCCTCTTAACCATCAGAGTGCCTTGTTGTGTGACTGGTTCTCGACCCTGTGGTTAAGAGGAGTGTAGACCCTTGGAGAGGGTTTGGAGGAAAGGAAGAGGTTCCTAAGTGGCATCTCGTAGAAGAAACTCAGCTCGTTAGCTGCAGAATGAGAACACTGAGGGACACCTAATGATAGTAATTTAGCTTCGGATAATCTTAGAGGGCTATGGAAACGGTTTGGTTTGGTGTTTTTTTTTGTCTACTAAGTATAAAAAAGTTTAAATCAAAGAATCTTTACCAAGAGTGAGTGTTAATGAAAATCTACATTCTTCCCTAATAAAATTTTTGAGGAAGTCCACAATATCCTCTTCAGCCCCTCCCCAAAACGTTGAATGAATGAAGTGTGGAGAATGGCAGGTATTAATGTCCATGAGTTTGGTTGTACGCATCTGAGAAGGAGAATGAAATAACTGTCTGCTCGGTATTGGCTTTGAAAGGAACACGGAGCTCTCTCTCTTTCTCTCTTGAGCTCAGTTCTTTTGATGTCTCTTGTGTCATCACTGGTTACGGCAAGTGTAATCCTAGTGTTTAGATCCCTTTTTCACACAGCACATCCCTAAATATGAAGCTCACATTCTCATTTGATACTTAATCAAAGTGGCACAAACTACTCAAAACTTGTCACATTTCTCAAGGGCGTGATTTCTGAAGGTAATTCTCACTGCGTGATTTTCTCCCCTCACCCACTCATGTCACACTAACTCTTCATGTGACCATGCAGCCCGTCTCTATTTAAGACTCCCCGCTGGAAGAGAATAAGGTGAAGGTTCATGGCCGAGACTATTAAGAAATTTACGATATAAATATATTTAGAATGTCTTCAGATAAATCCATTACCATTGGGTTTTTCTCAACCTGTGGTGACCTTATAGGGCAGAGTAGAACTGCCCTTTCAGGTTGGCTGGTGTCTATAGAAGCAGAACACTCTTTTCTCTTACAGAGTGCCGGTCAGCGGCCCAGTACTTACTTCACCATGCCGCTAGACTGCCTTCATTTCCATATGCTGTTGTTCTGTACTGTTGAGTTGGAATCAGAGCTGCCCCATAGCTGACCTTCCAGCAGGTTTTCAGAGGCAGTGAATCACACGGGAAGAGATTGACCATCTCTCTCCCAGGAGTGGTTGGTGGATTTGAGCCATGTGCCTTTGGGTTGGCAGCACAACTCTAATGAATCATGTATATATAGCTCTTGTTAGATGCAGTCAGGCTGACTGCAGCTTGTATTGGTCCTCTGAACAGCAGGTGAGAACCGTGCCCCATCCTGTGCCACCTTCACACTCTGTCCATGCTCCTGCCCATTGTTGGAGACACTGATCTCTGTCTTCTGTGGTCTTTCTCTCCTTTGCTGACTCTCTACCTTTCCCAGCAAGTGTCTTTTCTTCAAAGACTGGCCCCCTTCTGACAATATGGCTAGAGTATATGAGATAAAGTTTCACCCTCCTTCTCTCTAAGAAGGCACCCTGGTTACATTTTCTATTTTCCAGAGTAGATTAGATATGCTTACAGGTGCTGTATTTGTAACTGATTGAATAGTTAAGATTCTTTAATTGTAAGTAACAGTAACCTGCCTAAGCAAATAGCCCTCTGTGATCAAATAATTATCAGATTTGCTGTCAATTTCACCATCAAATTAAAGTCCAGTGGACTTTTTATTTTTAAAAAATATTTTTAAGTCATTTTACAAATAATTGGGAAAATAAAATTAGAAGAATAAGATGGTATTGAAAAACAACTTTAATGGACATTTTACTGAGAATTTTAATATAGCAAACCCATGTACGTGTTATATATTTCCCAGGTTTTGAAGATGTAGTTGTCCAAAAGAGGCTGTGTTCTTTGTGTGTAATTAACTGCTCATTAACTCCTCTGCATGAACTTGAATGTGTTTGATCTTACAAATACTGACTCCAGATTTGAGTTACATATCTAATAGATTGAAGTTTATCATATTTGTTTGGTGATTCTTCTTGAGTTGTGTTATCAAAACTAGTTGTTTTGAAAACTTGGACTGCTAATTTTGTTGAGAAACAGTGATTATCATCTTTATAATTACAGATCCTTTTTATTCTTACATTCTGAATACCAGTTAGAATTATCAAGCCATTGAATTTTTTTTCTTTTCTCTATCATTTGTTTCCTTCTGTTCTCCTTTGTGTACACATGTGCATTCAGCATTTGTCCAACATCACCAAAGAAATCGTGGTGTGTGAATACTATAAACACAGGGGAAATAACTGTCACGTGTCCTCTTAGTGCAGTAGCACAGTTCAGATTCTTTGAACAAAATATCGCAGGATAAAGTCTTCTTCTATTGAATAACTTGATGGGAATACCATACTTCCATTGTATTTTTAGAAATACATCGTTGATTATTGAATTTCAGAAAATGCATCTAAAATACTGTCTTGTGAAGACTCTGACATTGCACCTCTGCAGTCATTATCATTACTAGACTACATAGAGTACTTCTTTCTCTCTCTGTGCATTTATCTAATTTGTCTAATTGTGAAATTTTCCCCCTTTATTTTTGTTAAAAAAATGGAAAATGCTGGGTTCAACCGTGTTTACTGAAAACTGAAAAAAAGGAGAGTACAAAGATGCCTTTAGACTGCTCTTGTTTCTTACAAAGGCATGGAATGCTCTGGGCCTAAGGAAACAGGTTTGGTCACCATTGCTTCATCCTGTCCTCCCTGGTGATTCTGTCCGGCTGCCTCTTCATTGTTGCGTCATCTTCTCTCCTCCTCCTCCTCTCTAGTAGCTACTTGCTCGATTCTGACTCATGGTGATGCTGTGTGTGTCAGGGTGGAGCGCTGCTGCATTGAGCCTTCAGTGGCTGGTAGGTTTCAGAAGAGGTTGCTGTTTCTCTCTCAGGCACCCCGTGATGGTCTAGGGTCTCCACCCGTTTTGTTAACAGCAAAGTATTTCAAGATCTAGGTGAAGTAAGATCACTACGAGCCCATGGTGCTCAGATCTGTGGACTGCCCTGGCTGATGTCCCTGAGACACTCTTTACACCTGGCGCTGAATTCCCCGACACCATCTTTCAACCAAATAATAGATGTACATGTAAAAATGGTCACTCAGAGGAGCATATTCCTCGGAACAGCGATACAATATAAAGAGGATAGCATTTACCCAAAAGCAAAGATAAGAGGACAAGCAGGGTGGAAAAAATTTAGATAGAGAGGAAATTGTGAGCACAGACTGGATGTGAGAACAGCGTGGGCCTGTGATGGACAGTGGAGCTGGTGGTACAGGGCACCTTATGTACAGGCTATCAGGGAAGGTGAACTGTTGCGTGAAACTCAATTTATTCTCTTTTTTAAAATTGTGATTTTTAACAAAGGTTTATAGGAAGATTGGGTTTTCTTAAAAGATTCTGATCTCTACAATAATTTAATTAAGCTTATTGTTGTTGTGTACCGTGGAGTTGGGACCAACCCATAGATGATCCTCCTTCAGAGGCAGTTAATTGCATAGAAAGAGATTGCCCATCCTTCTCCAGCAGAGCAGCTGGTGGATTTGAACTATGGACCTTGGGAATTGCAGCTCAGCTTAGACTATATACTTCTAATAGTGTTTTGTACTGTGACACTGATGTGTCAAATGTGATAATTGTTTCCCATGGTGGACAGTGTTCCCCGATTAAAACGAATCCTGCTTCTAAGGCAGGAGTGGCATCCACTTTCAAAATAGTTGCTTCTGGAAACCCTATGAACTTGGAGAAATAATGAAAGTTATGTAAGTGCTCAGGTGTTCGTTCATAGGGTCGCTATGAGTCGTCTACAACTCAATGACACTTAACAACAACAAACAGTAGTTGGATTTTTCCAACGTGTCAGAGGGAAGCTTCTTGTTGGGTGCCATCAAGTCAGAAGTGACTCATAGCTGACGCTTCAGCAGGCTTCCACACCCTCTCTTTATCATGATTTTAACAAAAGTTTACAGAGAAGTTGGATTTTCATTCATTCATTGTTCTTTCCTTCATCTGTTCCTATACAGTGTTCTTTCTTTATCCCCTCTTTTCTCAGTTTCCTCCCAAATCCCATGTCAGTCCTGTTTTATAACAGTGGTGTTGATGCAGTATTTGTCCTTTTCTGACTGAGATATCTGATTCAGCATAATATCCTCTAGGCTCACCCATGTTTTGTAATATTCCTTGTATTTCAGTGCTGTGTAGCATTCTATTGTGTAAATATACACTTGAGTTGCTTCCATCTCTTTGCTATTGTGATTAACACAGCAATAAACTTGAGTGTGCATACATCTGTTTGTGTGGAGCTCTGGTTTCTTTAGGGTATATTCCTAGTAGTGAAATTGCTGAGTCAAATGGTGTTTCTATTTCCAGCTTTCTGAGAAAGCACCAGACGGCGTTCTATAGTAGTTATACCATTTTACATTCCTATTAACAGTAAATAAGAGTTCCAATCTTTCTGCAGCCTCCCCAGCATTTGTTGTTTGCTTCCAGAAGGTTTTTAAGAGGCATTAAATCACACAGGAGGAGATTGCCCATCTTTCTTCTGCAGAGCAGCTGGTGGATTTGAACTGTGTACTTGTGCATTGGTGGTACAATTCCTTACCGCCAAACCACCAGTGCTCACTGAGGAGACTTGGGGGCAGGCACGTAAGTAATGAGAGGCTTTAGATGCCTTCCTGTACTTTAGGCAGGTTTTAAAAAAAGATTTCCTTACAAGAGTTTACCTGCTGGGGAGATAGCAAAAGCCTGAACATGGAGCCTCGTACACTCATGTACCCATGACGCATTGCTCCTTGGATGTTGAACACTGGTATTCAAAGATGGACGAGGCATTGCCCAGAGGCTGCGTGCTTATTAGCAAACTATTAAACTGAGCAACATTTTATTAGGTTTTTTTAAACTTTGGTTTGAAATTGTGCATAATCTCTATAAACTTGTTTATTGCATGTATTAACTTTAATTTGGAAATATTTTTAAAGAATTCTGAGACTTTTTTTTACATTTCCCATGGGTTTTTAATAAAGTACTTTTGAAATGGCATGTATATGAACTTGGACTGTAGGGAGGAAAATACACAAGAAAAAAATG